TGAATGGATATCTCTTGATTACAATTATCTTCAGAGTTTCGCGCGTGGAAATTCGATTGAAAATTATCGAGGTGTCTCGTTAAAAATCTGATAAAAAGTCGCTCTAGCAAGTTGGAAGAAAAGATTGGGATGTTCTTTTGTTAAGTTTTTTATGGAGAAGTGGAAAGTGTATGTTTTTATTAAACCTTCTAGCGGGATTAGCTGGTTTTCTTTTATCCACCGAATAATAAACGATGTGACTGAGTAGTGGGGTAAGAAGGAAAAAAAATATTGTGCTTTGTTCGCGTTTCTTCGGGTAATTCGTGATTTCGGTTTCCTCCGGGCTCGATTTTCCAAAGGGTAAATTACTAATTACGCTCCATTTGAGGTAATTAGATTAAGCGGAGTTAATTAGAGTGGAACGATTCAGGGAAAATTCGGGATGAACCGTCCTATAAATTACACTTACGAAATGCCTAAATGCAAAATTTTATCTCTTTATGGTCTCTGAGTAGAACAAAATAAGCATTTTTGTTAGCACCTGTTATGTTGGATTTCTAACAGTTGTTATAAATCTTTTATGTCCTTCAAGGATTCAGGATATTCCTTCCACGTCGTTGTAGAAAATAAGGTATTTACAGTTTATGTCACGTTTGAGGGTCTCGAGAGTGTAATGTTTTTTCTCCACGCTAGAACAAAACATGCGAAACAGTTGTTAAATTTGAATAAGGGCTGATTATTCGCATGTAAAGTTTTTCAAATAGTCCTAAAAAAGGTAAGACAAAAGAACCGAAATCTATTCTACAAAAATATAATTTTTGCTCCTCTATTGTCTAACAACAGTATCATTAAATGTATCTTTTGATAAATAAGCCCTTCCATTGTAAATCTTCATTGAAACGACTGTTCGCAAAGCGACTTCCATCATTCATTGTTGAATTTGATACCAAAATAAGCGAGACAGGTGTTTCCATTGTTAACCGAATTAACCCTTAAGCAAAGGCCACGGCTTTGTGGGTTGGTGTATCCAGCTTTACCTTTATCTTGAATTCCAGTATTTAATAATATCGTATAGTTGCGATTCGCTTGAAATTCGAATTGGATAATTGTGTAATAAACAAGTTTTCCATTAAAAGAATTAATTTCACTCGCATGCTAGAATTTAATTTCGTTGTTTTCGTACACATAACATTGCACAAGTCCATTGCATGTTGTTATTCGAAATGGGTCAATTTCGAGTTTAATTTCTTTTAATTAGTGGAGTAATTCGGTATTTTTCTATACAGTTTGTCTGCAGAAATAACAGAAATTGCCGGTGCGAAAAGTTTAAATTGCAACCTCGAATTCGAGCGTTTCCATTCTACAAATCCTCGCAAAACCGAAAAGTTGGAATTATAACTTCGAAATAACCTCGAATTTCAAAATTTAGATAACAAATCCGATGTATATACACGTTCGAAACCGCCAGTTAATTAATCGCAACAATCTACGATAATTGAATTACCTCTGTACTGCAATGCTCAATGCTGGTTAAAGATATATCGGATTACGGAATTATGCAGATATAACAAGCAACCTTTATAATTGATTCTAATTGGGTAATCATGCGTAGTTTATCACCCGAAAACATTGCAGTAGACTCGGCTCAATCTTCGTATTGATTGATAATTGACAAAACAAGTATAACCCATTATCTTGTCGAATTGGAGAGGCCGAATATAATTAGCCGAATATAATTAGCCACATATTTTATTAAGAGAAATTTTTTCGTTTAATTTACACCGATATCGGAGAAATATACACCCGAATCGTTCCGATTTGTCGCAGTAAATTAAATCGGGAATACTAGCAACAGCAGTGTTTCGGACGGTGACAATTTTTCTTCATTAATTTAGACTCTAATAAGAAACGATAATAACCGGTTGCTCAAATTCCAAACTCTTTACACAGAGTTTTTTTTTTTAGAAATAAATAGCCGGACGCTCGCTGTATAAAGGCACTTATTTACAGGTTCATCGCGGAGTTTCCGGACGTTCTCGCTTGATTTGCTCTTCATATAAAAGAAGGTTCGAATTCCCAGCGCGTAGCCGTTCGTCGGAAAAGCGATGCATAAGCATTTCGCGAAAGGGGTCAAGATTTTCGCATTCCTTACCGCCTTCCGTTCGAACTCGAGTGGATTACGAAAGGTGTAAAGCCGACGATTTTTGATAGTTTTTTTCCAAAATGGGACTCTCAAACTGGCAACGAATCGAGCATTGAGGAGTTGTTGAGAATTGATTAACTGCTCCTATTCGTTTTACGTTTTAATCTGCTTAGTAATTCGTTTTCTTCGAGCTGTAGATAAGTTGAATTATTTATGGAAAAATAATGTATAATATAGCGTGCTGGGTGTAGTTGGAATTCGGGAAATCTGACAAAACGGTAAAACCGATTAGCTAATATAAAATGAATGGAATTTCTTATGAACGGCCGCTGAGATTGGGTGTAGAAATGAAACAGGAGAGAAACAAAAGCGTTGGAAACGACTGCTTTAAAGCAGTTCATAATTCAACGCGGCTTTTCTCGCGCTTTTTAACGCGAGAAAAAAATATGCGAAAAGTTAATGTTGAAATCGATACTTACAATTCTATATTATTTATAATCGAAATGTATCGATAAAAACCGATTATTGTGCGTTGTAAAAACGACGTGAATGCGTTAAAACGAATTAATATTGTTTGTTGGAAAAGTTCCAAAAACTAACAAGGGAAAGCTCGACTTAGAAAACTGGTATTTTCCGAATTGTCTGCTCGCTTCAACAAAGTCGTAACCAATAATTTATCTTCGAATCGAACACACCAATTCCATTTAAACAAACCCGTTTATACAGAATACAAAGCGCTCATTACTTTTTATACATATTAGATAGAAAAAATCACGTTCATTTCGATGCATAAAATACTAATTTTAATTCCAGTTGAGCACTCAAATTCCTGTTTAATCTCCAACGGGTTTAATCTAATTTGGTAGAATGGAAACAAATAGAAAACGGTTCGGCCGGACAATTCGGCATTCGAAGCGAAGAACAGGAAAATACCGGAATCGTCATAAATTATCATCATCCTACAAAACCGAATTTAGAGGCGCTTCCTATGCGGATGGACAAAAATTAAAGCGAAGCATATTTCGAATTAGAGTGTCCCGTTTATAGCCAAATCAATTTAGCGGAACGCGAAATTCGCCGGCAAAAAATCTTTTCTGCTAGATTAAATAAAGCGAACTGCTTAGGAAAAATTTCGAGCTCTCCGCGGAGAGCGGTGGAAAACCGAACGGATCCCCGAGGATGCCTCGCTTAAATTTATATTCCACATGGAGAACCTTCCGTACTCCTTACCTAACTGCTAGCAATTACAGTACAGGAGATGTATTCCTTTACATATACTTACTTACACTCGTGCAAGTGCTCTATTAACTCTCAAAGGTCTCTTCCTGCGACTTAAAAAAACCTACTGAGGATGGCCAGTTGGTAAAAGGATTTTCGTTAGAAAGAAAAGATAAAAGCAGAAATGAAGGATTCTCATCAATCTTTTTGTACTGCGCCAAAAGAAACTTCATGAAGTAGAAGTAAATAAAAACTCCAATTACAGAAATACACTCGTTCAAAATATCTCTACATGGGAATAAAATTCCTGACTTATAGCTGTTATGTTTTATTAGTATTTTGTAACATACGGAGGTATAAAATATGAAATGTAGCTTTAATATTCTAACCAATAAATTCGAATTAAATTAGGAAGCTGCTTGAACATCAACGTACACCTACTAAATCCGTTAATTAGCATTTTACATTCAAACATGTTTAGCTAGAAATTTCTTGCGCTATATCCGTTTAATCATAGGGCTAAAGTTGGTGTAATTAGTGCTGTATTTAAGGCGCCTATCAGAAAGGTCTGTAGGCCTACAAGTAAATTTATGTATAAATACAGCTCCGTCTTCACTCCTGTATCTAATGTTACAAAGGGCGTCATTAATTGGAATTAAGTGTCGCCTTTCGTGCGGTTTTAATTTCACGAATTAACGAAATATCACACTAGCGAAAGTTTTACGGAATTATCCTGATGTACAGAACAGTTCCGCGGGGTATATTAATTTGTTTTATGCTTGTTTTGAATTACAAAACGCTTCGAAATAAAAATTAAATTAACATCTTTCAACCATCGCAAGTTGTATTAGACATTACATGCGAAGGTTTAAAAATATCTTTCCCTCATTCCACGGTGTAGATTCATTTATCAACTGAATGTAGCCTTTTTGGTTTTCCTGATACATCTGTTAATTAGATTAGGCCCTCGAAAGGGCTAACAAACTTGACCTAAAACACGAGTAGCGACCCCGAGTCGACTTCTAACTTCTGGCCGATTGAAAAGTAAATCGCGGGAAAGCGTGAAAAAGACGAATTTTCTAACTGAAATTAAGATAGCAGGAAATTTGCTCGATTGAAATGGAAAAGAGGAAATTAGGGATATGTTTATTGAAGTGTTTAACTCACTTGATTCGTTTAATATGAAGTAAATTAATTATTGTTGTTTCGTTTGATGAGAGATGAGGAGATTTTCTTTTCAAATCTTATTGCGTGTGGTGGAAAAAATGTACAGGTGTTATCGAGTTGTCGATTTGAAAAAGGTTTGCTATAAAAGGGGTATAAAAAGATCCCTTTTTCTGAAACACCAGTCGATGGAATCTGACAATAAAGGGTGCTTTCTATTCTTTTCACTCGACTATTTATTTTAACCTTTCAACGAGCACTTTAATTTTTGTTCCCGCAAAGACTGCGCTTCAACGGGAGTATTTCTATACATCATTCGTTAAAAAAAAAGCTGTTAAAAGTTGAGTTCGACGCCATCAGTCAATCAAACTCAATTACCTACATACACTTCCAAGCAGCGAAAGTGTTTCGTTTAAATTTCCACCAACAACTCAAACAAACCCTTTCGCAAAATCGCTATCTAATCCCTTTTAAATCTCTACAATCGATCACTATTTCAAACGCCTTTTATCTTCCCCAATTGCAAGCTCTAATAGGAAAAATATTTATGCAAACACCCATTGAATTATTTCGCTCTATCCAACAAAACTTTCAGCAAGGACCAAATATTTCGCTCTATCCGACAAAATTAAACTTTCAGCAAGGACCAAAAAAAAAAACGAAACTCACTTCTAACGTCCGCTTCTGGCCGGATCCTTTGATCCTGTGATCGGGAGACGATCGCAAGTTCCTCGTGTCGATGTGCACGTTGGTCTGCATCCTGGCGGTAACAGGTGATTGAGGCGAAAAACGGTAAGGAGGCGGCGGCGGAGGCGGCGGCGGCGGCGGCTACGCGACCGGCGCCGGCATCTCGCTGAATTGTTCACCGCCGCACTACTGAAAGTCGGATGGCAGGAGGAGAGGAGGCCGAGTGAGCGGCGCTCCGAAGCGGCCGCCGCCGAACTAGCCGGCGATCGTGCGGAGGGCGGTTTTTTTTTTTTTTTTTTTTCTGGAGAAGGTTGGAGGGTGTTTGTTCGGTTATTATCCGCGTGTTTTTATTTTTTTTTTCGGGTTGCTTTCGGGGGGTTTTTTATTGGGCGAGTGCGTGAGGTTCGGGGGAATTACAGCGGTGGAATGAGCTTCGTTTGGTTTTGTTACTTTTCTATGATGATTTTTTTGTATTTACTTGCGAATGAAGTTCGACGAAAGTGAACCTGTGCTTTTTAAAAAATAAACTTACTATGTGTTTAATTATTGATAAGTGTTCGTGTGGAATTTGATAACTGGAAGATAAATTTACTATTTTTTTTTTCAAAATAATTAATATTTGCTGTACGCTTTTCAGTAGGTAAATAAAGATTGCTAATATTTAAAATTTATTATTGGAGATCGAAGATTTGGGAAAAGCAACGCTGCAATCTTCTCCTTGGTAATTTGAAAATATTTATGAATTGCAAGAGATATGAGTGTACTATAAATAATAAATTATTAAATAAATATAAATAGGTGGTGTGGTCGAATAAGTTACCAAGTTTCCGTGGTGTAGTGGTTATCACATCCGCCTAACACGCGGAAGGTCCCCGGTTCGATCCCGGGCGGAAACATTGTTTTTTTTTTATTTTTTTTAACCATATAGAAAATATAAGATGTAAATATTGGTTTTGTTTTTTTTTATAAAAAGATCCTACACTTTTGATTTAGGGATTAAATGATGTAATATTAGCCTTGATCCAAAAAATGTGATAACTGATGGAGTTTTTTGTTTATATACGAAATTGTTTTCTTAGTCAAAATTAAGTTAAACGCAATTTAATTAATAATAATCATAAATTTGACCTAAATTTAGATATATGGGTCATAAAAATTACATACATTTTTGTAAGTTCAGTACTAGGTACTAAAATATTCTGAACATAATTATTTGATGTACAATAAAAAATAAGTTAATATTTAAGTTAGTAAAGAAATATAATTTTATCATTTGTTAACAATCTATTAGTGTTGTAATGTTGTTTGTATGTATACTGTTAATTTTGTTCAAATGCATCTGTAATTAATGCATTATATTTATGTTTTTGATAGATATAATAATGTTTTGACATCTATACTTATTGCTTTTATAACATATAATAAACTTTGGGCAACAAAAATTGATAAATGCAAATCACAAATTAATTGTGATAATTTCTCCTAATGCACTTATTCTAGTTATCTCCTTAACTACCACCAAAATCACTAGAATCACTTAAAATACAATTCAATGCAGTTCCTATTAATTAATAAACGGATCGATAGAGGGCTAAAAGTCCAAGTTTAACATACGGAAACCGCTTGTAACGATACCATCATTTTTTTAGCGGAAGGTCAGAATTTTAATGTTGATTTGCTCGTTATTATTTCATACTCCTGTTAGTTTTCATCTACTAACATGACCAACCAGGTGAAATTTTTTCAATGCATTTTTTCATTGGTGATTTATTTTTATACGGTGAATCCCATCGTGTACGGTGAGTATAAGCACCTAATACATAATCAATTCATAAATTTATCAATTATTAATATTTACCCAACTATTTTTAAAATTTCAGTCAAATTTTATTTAAATTTTTACGTACATAGTTTAATGTAATCGCGAAATATTTTTATGTTAGGTAATTTCGCCGGATTGATTTTCTATATTTAGATAATTTTTTAATAATTAGTTATTAGCTGTATGTATGTAATCAAGGACAATCTGCTCGTTAAAATCTTTCAATTAAGACTAAACTAATATTATTTTTTCGGGAATATTTCACCGTAATCGACCAGACTTCCGATTCGTTTTAACCATCTAAACCGGCTAAAATTTTCACTTCAACAACTTCAACCTTGTTGAAAGAACGTTTGATGTTCATTTACATTATTTATATTTCGTTTCCCATTATTTTTTAAGGAAAAATTCGTGCACTTTGACCGGCGGTTAATAAAAGTAAACATCTACAGTAATTAACTATGATTCACCTGTATATTTATCAGTTAACTACATAATAAAGTAGGGGAGAAATAAGCTTGAAATAAATTTCGTAAAAATAATACAAAAAGCAAACGCCAGAATGTATAAATCATCGGGAGTTGCTCTTATGCTCATAAAAGATTCTGCTTGTTACTCGTCACGCCCTTCCCCAATCAAATATTAAACACGTTTCAGAAAGCCAGATAATAATTTTTGTATAAGCAATCGAAAGATTGGACAAAAAAACAATTTCAAGTTCTAATTATTTTACACAACAGGTTACAATTTCCAACAATCCGAGGAACAAACAGTTCGAAGCAAAAGATCGTCCTTGTGTCCTTCCAACACCCAATGCATTCCGTTATCTTCTTGCCAGTATTTAGCCAATATTTTGAACAATAACTGCCTTTTAAACAACAGGTAAGTAGGAGTAAACATGTACATAAAAATATAACCAAAACACCCGGTCGTTTTGCAGGATATCAGACTTGAGCTGCGGCTACCAGGGATCCGGATTAGTGTGTTGTCCCCAAACCGCCGAATCGACCACCATTTTACCTGGAAAAGTCGTTGACGGGCAAAGATGCGGATTTTCCCAAATACAAGGCGACAATTACGACGGCATCGGAGCTTTTCCTTGGATCGCTCGAATCGGATTCCGAAGTATAATCCAAAATAGCACTTTTTTACCAAGCAATACTGATTAACGCATGTTTTAGACATATTGAACGGCGAAATTAAATACCCTTGTGCCGGCTCGATCATTAACTCGAGGATCATCTTAACCACCGCCCATTGCGCTTTGGCCAAAGCGGACAATTACAAATTGTAAGTTCAAATACATCGCTATTATTTTAATAAAGTAATTAACATTGACATAGTCGCGATATGGCGTGATTAAAAGTCACAATCCGATATCCGATGGTCGTAAAACGTTCGATCCGATAATAAAATGTTTTCGTTGAAGGTTCGCAGTACGTTTGGGCGAATGGAATAGCAATACAGAAATTGATTGCGGTTCGGAATTTTGCGGACTTCCAACGCAGGATAAGTCTATTAGTCATGTCGTTGTCCACCCCGGTTATCAGAAGCACACCTATCAGGATAACATCGCTCTAATCGTTTTGAAATCGACCATAAATTTTACAGGTAGGTGAGCTGGTTTATCTGCTGTTTAATAAATCTGATGGAAAGCTGCGAGGAATTTGTGATTTAGTAAAAACTATTTACCTACCGCCAGTCTATTCTTAGGTTATTTTGAGTGTTACCTACTCTGAATTTTTTGTTTGTACAAATTTAATCAATTGTAATTAGCAGGGATTATAATAATGTTAATGTTGAATGGTTCTGATCACACAGTAAAGCAAATTCGTTTATTATTGGAAAATATCCAATAAGTTTTATTGTTGTAATATTTAATAATCTATCAACTCAGGATGCTGCAATATCCTGAATATTTTATTAAAATATATTTTACAACCAGCAATTATAACCTTCGATAGGAGAGAAAGTGATTCAATTACAACAAACATTTTTATAACCTTTTATCCAAAAATAATTCTCTAACAAGAGTTATTCTTGCGCGAAGCGCATTGATAAATTCTCGCGTTATCGCTTATTAGCCAGCCCGGATATTCGACGCGCTATTTATCATTATAATTAGAAACTATTTTATGTTTGTGTAGCCAAAAAATTAGCTGTACAATTGCGCAAGATTTAACTAATCGAAATCCTTTTTAGTTACCGCTCAGCCCGTTTGTTTACCGGAAGCTTGGTCTGTCACCAGCAACGACGCCTTCCTGGTGGGATGGGGAAAAGCAGCAGGACAAACATGTATATATTTTACCGAATTATTTTCGGATTATTATTCAATTTCGAGATTTCTAGATACTCCATCTAGACAGCAAGTTTTGCGGCTGCCCATCATAAGCTTGCAGCAATGCCAGCAGGTTTACGGCAGGACATTGCCTGTTGGTGAGGACCATATTTGTGCTGGAGGTGAAGCTGGAAATGATGCTTGCAGCGGTTTCGGGGGCGCTCCTCTGTTGGTTCGGCATGGAAATACGAACTACCAGGTAGAGTGAATTGTTTAGGGATTTTTTTTTGGTTATTTTATTGCTGGGTTTTTAGGTTGGTATATTGTCGTTTGGATCCGATCAATGCGGAAGTCCCGGTGTGCCCAGCGTGTATACGAATGTGAAGAAATATGTGTCGTGGATTAGAGAAAATACTCCTCAAGGATACGATAAATACTCGTAGATGTTTTTGTAAGGTGGAAATGGAACTAAACAATTTTTGCTAAACTCGAAATTTTATTTAATATAGTTCAATTTTAACAAGTTATTTTATTAGAAGTTTAGTTAACCAAGTTTTAGTAATATTTTTCGTAAGTTCAAGTGCTTTTTTCGATATTTTCAAACAATTATAATGCTAACAAAAAATGTCGCTAATTTTGCAAATTTCTCGACATTAAGTAAAAAAACTATCATTTTTTTTTGCCAAATTTGTGAAATATGTAGCAATTCCAACGTTCTATACAATCTTCGATAAGTAATAACTAACTCATCGTTTACCTACATGGAAATTTAAAACTTTTATATTTTTCCCATTCTTTTACAAGCCAGATTTTTCATTTCAAATTTCAAATTTCCATGCAACAACATTTTGCTTGTTTCTAGAAGACAATTCTCCTCGACAACGAATCGAACTTGCGTAAAATTAAACGATGCAGTATAAAATTTATTGCTTCACAGATGAGTTAAATAGACATTCTACGAATTCTCACTCATTCTTACAAGTAAGTAACAATGTGCACATTTGGAAAAATAGAACAGATGTTGGACCCATGTCTGTACAAAACCACTAATCAGATTCATAAGGAAAATATCGCGCTATTTCAAACACAAAAAAATATTAGGCAGAAGCTACTCGGTTTTTTACAAAAACTTAATTATATTCAGTAAAAATATTCGAGTACCGATTCGATTCAGAAATCATTGCTTATTAGTATGATTAATGTGCCACTAACTTCGCGTGATTGTCGATAAAATGATGAGATTAATTCGAGTAACTCGCCTAATATTCGACTTTCCTGCAACGAAAATTATGCGAAAAATCGAGAGGCGCATTTTTCAACAATTTAATAAACTTACCCCGCGAGTTTTTCGTTAATACGCGCAACAACATTACAAGTAGAATGCACAAAAATAGATAATTAATTTCTTAAATACAACGCTACGTACATTTTTAGTTTATTAAACATTCTACAATCATGTTTTTACTGATATCACAAGGTGTTTGCAGGAGAAATGAACCATAAATCTTCCACGGTGAAATTATTTTTTTTTAAAGTTATCTAATTGGATTTCTAGAATGTGTCTTCCCGTGTTTCGTTCAAATTAATCACCAATTTAAATGCAATCAATCCCGGACATTTGGAAATCTCCTTTAGTGATTAATTAAAATAGATATTCTTCGTTTTACTGAAGTGATTGTACATGGAAAGGGAAAACACTTTGTAGAAATCTTGGAAGGACTGGATTTCTGTTAAAATTAAATAACTAAAAACAATTCATAAATTTTAGTGTACTTGATCGTATTTGGCGATCGAAGAAAGTTCATTTTTGACATGATCCGTTTTTTTAGATGGCGATCAGCCGAAATTTAATGAGTTTATATCGTATCTAATTTTATGTACAATTATTACTTTGAAAATGCGACTATATAATCGTTAAGTTTCATTAAAATAGGTTTCATTAAAGTTCCTACTTATCTACAATAAACTCTTCATAAATCATATATTTTATATAATTTGACTTACTTTTAAAATTTATCTTACGGTTAGGTGTTAATGGTATATCGAAAAAAAAATAGCGTGATTGCATAAAGAGTATCACAAACAATCAATAACTGTTCCTGTGAAATTTCTTCTGCTTTATTATCTAATCGATTGAGTAAGGAATTAAAATATAAAGTCAAAGTATATATATGTTCAGTCTATAATCTGATCTACACTAAATTTACTTAAATCGTATTTGCACCAAGAATACTTGCATTAACAAGTACTATATCTAATTAGTAATAACATTTTGCTCTAAATTTAAATTATGTTAAAATAATTTCATATTGAGATTAACAAAGTTTTAAAAATTCCAATTTTTTTATTAGCTTATTAAAATATTCGAGAATTAACTATTAATTTATATACTCAAGTATCTCGAATTCGATGATATTGAAGATTCTCCAAAATTTTCATAAAAAATTGCTCAGAAACCGAATTTCAAAATAGCCTCGACATCTCTATAAATTCTCCTCTTCAACATCGAAATTTTTAAGCATAGAAAAAATTATTACTACGAGTACTCTTTCATCGAACTAGCTTAAGAGCAATTTCATCTACAATTAATAATCGGCATTTAGATCCATCCTAGTATTATTTTAAAACGCCTAGGAATCGCGTACGACTTAGTAGCTATATTTATAACATTTTCAAATAACTTTTACTCAATATTATTCTCGTTATAATCTATTCTCACTAAAATTTTGTAAGAATAATCTAAATCTAAGATAATTTTGGTCTTTCAACTATTTGGCTAAAGTATGTATAATACAGGTTTTCACATGAAACATTTTGCAATAAAAATTTCTCGAGATATGTTAACAATTAAACTTTTTATCCATAAACGAAATGTGATTATCGAATAAATTTACTATATTACTCGATTTTCAAATAATTTGAATTGATCCAATCTACTTTAATCTAAACGTTTGGATGCCCTACAGATCTATCTAATTTAATCAGTTTCTGCAGAAATGGTGAATAAGTTAAAAACAAGCAGAGGAATAGAAATATTGCGAATGATCCAAATCGTTTATAAGCAATTAAAATCGCGCTCTTGAATTTCCTTCAGCAAATAAAATTTCGATCCGCAGGTCTTTTTCGTAAGGTATAACTAACATGTTCCTGAGTTTTAAGGTAACCGCAGTATATTTGTCTTAAACGATATCGCTTTCATTCGCCGCAGAACATTTAATTATCGTAATTATGACAGAACATCAATCGTATTTAAAATTTGGCACTTTCATCACTAACATCCAAAAAAATTCATTGGATGACTCAAAGCACAGATTTAGGTTGTGAAGATTGTTAGGGTACATTACAAGCCTCTTCTCGCCCAAGTGCTAAATCGATCGATCACTCAAAGACCTCTAGTACAATTCTCTCTCGCTACAATCGCTTGCTACTAGTTTAAACTATTATTGTACTCTAAATTCGGTTTCTCTGGATCCGTTTACTTGCCGGAAGATTCTTGCGAATCTTCCTCCGTATACTAGTCGATGTAGTTCCGCAATCCCGCCTTGAACTCGGGCGGCACTTGCTTCACGAAGCAATCGTCCAGGAAGCCGCCCATGCTCTCGTAGAGGTGCTTCTTCACGCCGCCCAAATTGTGACTCTCGTCCGGATAGATCTACAAAACAACACAATCATCATCAGATTGCACTAGATCCACTTACTAACTTGTTGGCGGAACAAAGTCCCGGCCTCTGACAGCGCCTTCATCAGCGACATCGATTGCTGCAAATGGACGTTATCGTCGGCGGAGCCGTGGATCAAATAAAACATCTTGTCTTTGAGTTGATGGGCCTTTTTGCTCACGTCCGCCTCCTCGTAGCCTTTGTAATTGTCCGTTACATTCGGCAGGCCCATGAATCTTTCGGTGTACGCCGAATCTGGATAGAAACAGCGATGAAATCGCGAGGTTTGTTGTTTAGAAAGCGGAATTGTTACCGTATAGTTTCCAGTTTGTGACAGGCGAAACGGCTATAGCGCAATGGAACACGTTTTTGGGACTCGCCAGCGCCAGCGCCGCTACGAATCCACCGTAACTCCATCCCCAAACCGCCACCCTTCGTTTATCGATGAAGTGTTGGGTTTCCTTCAAGTATCTGTTAACAGATCGACATTATCCTATTACCAACAAAACGATAATTACTAGACTCACTCGGTGACTTCTAATTGATCAGCAACCTCCACCGAGCCTAGTTTGTAGTAAACTTTGTGCAATATCCGATGACCCTGCCCGCCGGAGCCTCTTCCATCGATTTGAGCTATGATGAAATCCTTGTTACCCGATAGAAAAGTGTTCCAATCTAACCTCCACCTCTCGGTCACCAGCTGGCTTCCTGGACCTCCGTACACTTGCACAATCAACGGATACCTGGTGATCTCGTCTTCTCGAAGACCTGGTGGTAGATGAAGTCGAACTTGAGCTTGATACCTACGAGAATCTCGATGAATTATAGATGTGTGTAAATGAATAAGAGGCTCACCCTCCGGATATTTGGACAGGAAACGTTTTAATCTGAGGCATCGCCATCTCGTCGACTCTCGCCCTCAATTCGGTGTTGTTCTGCATCCAAAGGAGCAACCTCGGTCGAGGCATGGCGGTTTTGTGCAACGACGTGGTGGGAATCCCGGGCCCCAAACACTCCAATACATAGTAGGAGGATTTGGGGCTGAAGACGGCGTTGTGGTACAAACAAGCCGGATGTTTGTTCGCAGCCTTCGGCTTCTTCTTCTTCCTCCTCGTCGACGGGGTGGTGAGAACGACGTCGTCGTCGTCGTCGTCGTCCCACGTGCCGGTCTTCACGCGGTAGATGTTCTCGTCGAGCGAGATGAACGAGGGCTGGGTGGGGGCGGGTTCCTTGGCGCAGGTCAGGCATACGGGGGGCGGCAGGGAGGCGCCCGTTCGGGGCGGCACCGAGGCCACCCTGTACAGGTGCAATTGGCCCGGTTTGTGTTCGGGCACGCCGAGGAAGTAGCTGGTGAAAAAATTGAATACGGTGCTGCTGGTGGTATGAATATGTATATTGATATCGATCCGGTTCGAACGGCGTTGTTAATGGTGGAAAAAAATAGAGTATCTATTAGTTGGGTAGTAAGGAAATATGTGTGTTTGTGCTGCACGAAATAATTCAATATTCATGCATTATTCTTGTTTGCTTAACTGTCGACATGAATGCGAAACTTCGATTAATAGAGTACAGTAAATTTAGTCAAATATTATTGGGGATTATATGTATATGAAAACGCTATCGTCACGTTCGATTTCGAATTGTATTTACACCGTTCGCGCTGTTCTAATTCTAATAAATAAACGATAATTGAGCGCCATATTTCCCGAATAAATTATTTTTCGGAAGGTTGTTATTAATTCGCTGCGATTAATTTTGACCGTTTGGTGAATTTCCCAATTGATTTACGCTGCAATTTCAGGACTTCCAGAGATTCAATAAATTTCCAACGAAGCGTCGAGTATAAAAATTCGCCAACAAAAAAAAAACTATTCCACTTACATGACATCATTGGAATGATCCCAAGTCAGGATTCTGGTGACTTCGTATCGTCCGTGAGTCAACGGCAAAACGCGCCTCTTCGGTATGTTCACAGAAACGGCGTGCCTGAAATTCCCGGCCGGTCCGTCCCTGACCGGAGCTATGGTGATGTAATTCGAACTATCCCCTCCGAAAACCGGACTGTCCCCCATGTCGACCCATCCCTGTCCATCGCTCGTTATCCGTTGAGTCTATAAACACAAAAAAATGCATAATTTTTTACCTCCAATGTCTTATCCGAGCTAGCATTTCACAGCAATCCTAATCTCTGGAAATAGCTATTAATAATCGCCAAAGAATTGAACGCGACATAACCAGCATAGTTTCGCGAACATTGACTCACGCACCGAACATATAATAATCCATCAAACACCGACGAATCGAGCTATTTCAACCATGTGCATCGGCTGTACCAGCTACCTCTTGCTAATTTTCTACCTAACAAACCATGCGCTCGCCAATTTCAACTGCCCCTCGAGCCAGGAATGCCAGCTGCTGCGCTCCTTCTGCAAGCCGATCAGCTGCGTCGCCGGCTTCGAGCCGCGCGTCCCGCCCTGCAACTGCTGCGAGGAGTGCGCCCCCGTCGGCTGCAAGCAGCAGGAGGACTGCGCCCGCGCCCGCTGCCCCAAGACCTACTGCCATCCGTCGCAGCAGCTGAAGCGGCTGCCGTGCAAGTGCTGCCCCGAGTGCCTGAACAAGGGCTGCAAGGTGCCCGGCGAGTGCGACCGGGCGCTGTGCCCGAAGCTGGTGTGCCACGCGTGGCAGAGCGCCGTCGCGGCGCCCTGCGAGTGCTGTCCGGTGTGCGAGCCGAAGGAGTGCGGCCCGGCGGGGAACGGGACGGGGTGCCCCCCGGGCCGGCAGGAGGAGCTGGGGGAGTTGGATTTGGACGCGGTGATGTGCCCGGCGTTGAGGTGTAAGGGGGATTTGGTGGCGAAGAAGCTGGTTGGGCGGACGTGTCCGTTGTGCGTGCCTGAGAGGTGCAAGAGCGCTTTGGAATGCGCTAAGGTGATTTGTATTACGCCGATTTGTAAACGGCAGGAGTTTTTGTATAAGAGTCCTTGCGATTGTTGCGCGAGTTGCGTGTCCGGTCGGTCTTTTATTTATAAATTCGATGAGGCTTATTTGAAGGTTTGATTTGTAGGGGGATTTTTCGTTTGTTGCATGTTTGGTTGTCTATCTTGCGGCGTTGTAATTCTCCTGTTTATTAAAGTTGTGTTATTCAAAATGTTTGATTTATTTCTTTTTATCGCTATTCCAACAGTAATGGATGTATAGATGTAATGATTTATCACAAAACGATGTAAACAATTTGGTGTCTTTGGAAAAAAATATTAATCAAATGAGCTATAGTGTAAGTAAGGTAGAGTGTGGGGTAAATCGGTTGTAAAATTTGAATAGTTCAAATTAAATCCTAAAATGTGGCTTTATTTTTTTTCTTATTAGAAATGCTGATACCACATTAAATTCACAATTTCCTAAACTAAAGAATCGTGGTATTAAAAAGTTTTTTTTGAAAAAGAAAGAAAACGATTTTAGATATTTTTTAAAATGTTGACAATATGTTACATTTACCCCCTACCATGGGGTTCTAAAGTGCAATACAATTATATAGAAAAACACATGGGGCATTTTTAAAAAAATATTTGGTTCCTCTAAAATTTGATATGCTGTTTATTTATTTATTTCAAAAAATAACAGACCTACAAAATAATAAAGAAAAAATAAGAAACAAACCCTGTCTAATGCACAAATAAACTATAAAAATACTAAAAAACATTAACATAATAGGTAAAAATATTACATTTACCCCATTTTTACATATGCCCCAGTCTACCTTATAATAACTCTTACAGTAAAGTTTCCAAAATAATTAATAGCCGGGAATTTCGCGCCGGAAAGTTGGCAAGACCAACAGGAATAAAGTAGAGAAACTTCCAAGGCGGTCTTTAAAATAAGAACGCGGCCTTTTCGGGAAAGTTTCTCGCTACTTTTCCGCGACTCGAAGCGGCAAAAAATGAAATATATGAATAAAATGAATAAATTGGGAACGCGAAAACGCGATTATTTCGAATCGTAAATTGGGCAAACATGCCGTTCGTTCGTTCGTTTAATAAGCATGTTTCTGGAAACGACGATTCCAGATAAGGAATTTCTAAATAAATAGCTGGATAAAATAACAGAGAAAAAAAAATGTGTTCATATTTCGAATTTTGGTAAAAATTGCTTCTATTTAAGATACACACACTCAAAAATGTTTTCCATACATGAATAAATGTTTAATATAACCAAATCTTTGTAAAATTAGTGTCTGTATCATTTACCAAAAGGCATAAAAATCATTTAAAATTAACAATAAAAACAATTTCAAATAATAAATGTCCATTTTTGAGTATGTGTATATGTAATTAAATCCCCAAGAACCGAAACTGCAATAAATTCAACTATAATATCTACAATAAGGTATATCCTAATCCAATCCCCGATTTACTCGTAAAATAATCCTCCATTAATCATCCCGATGGTCGCATTACGACGACGCTTCGTGGATATTTTGTCACGCACATAAATTTTCAAACGCATGCAATTTATGTTCCCGAAAACAAAAATCCCTCGATACAAAACCGGGGCCATCAAACGGCTAAATTATTAATCGAATCGTAGGCGCTTAGAGCTCGATAAATAAATAAATATTGCACGATATTTAACCCATTATACACCCACCAAAAACCGCCTATACACTCGCGTGAAATAACCCAACACGCGAGCTTTTTCGATTATTCAGGACTAGTTAGAACCAGATCTAATCTAGCTGTATACATACCTCTCTGCAATCCCATTTGGGACTCGAGCAAATCGTTATCACAGACAAATTTTGCGGCCGGTTCAGCCACACCACGCTGATCTCCGTCGAGCTGATCCACGACACCGCCGTGAAATAATGATCTCTGAAACATCAACCAAAAAACCTCCGTTGAACTGGAACCCGAAGGAACCGTGAAACATCAAGAAAAAGCCATTGAGGAATCATTGAGGAACTCACCGGCGGGCGATCACGCTCGGCGGCATCACCGGCTTGATTTTGATGTTGGAAGTGTCCGCCAGATCGGCCACCGTCAGGGTGACCTGGGGGTTCCTGGTGCCGGGCTTCGGGTACCTCAAAGACCTGATGTCCGGGTACAGCCTGCCGTCTTTGATGGAACCGTACCAAGGGAACCGCAACTCCTCCACCAAGGTGTCGTTGAACGTCGCGAAGACCATCAGCAGACCGTCCCTGGACATCCAAATGGCCGAATTCGTGCCCAGTATCTCCTCTGCAATCGACGGGTAGTTCGGGATTTATTCGGGATTCGTTCGGAAAACGAGTTTGTGCGGTTTGGAATTTTACCTTCGTAGAGCCAATCGGGCACGCCGTGGCTGACGACGCCGGGCACGGCGGTGTGGGTCACCTTGTAGCCGGTGTGGGACGTGGGGGTTTTCCTGTAGAAGACGTTGTAGTCTTGGACCATCACCAAGGAGTGGCCTTTGGGCGTCCATTCGGCCAGCAAAAGGAACGGGTGGTCGTCGTCTTCGGGAATCGGTCGCAGAGGGAAATCGTTGCTGGAATTTAGAAGCATTTTCTAGCGATTTCTAGCGATTTCTAGCGATTTCTAGCGATTTCTAGTGATTAGAACCCAGTGAATGGGAGGCTGGTTTGAATGGGGATATTTCCTGCTGGATCAACTGATAATTAACTGGATGAAGTTAATGGAAATTTCTCTTACGAATTTGATTATCCATCGCTTAACTAGTTTGCTGCCTTTTTGCGACCTCGTAAATCTTCTGGCATTCGATTTAAACGTCTCGATTTAGTGCAACTGTACGAAGTCGAGCTGCTCTTTCCTCGACTCCGGTTTCCTAAATGTTTATTAAATTGGGCTACGTTTTACGAGCCCAACTCGCTAGGGTAATAAAGTTAACGTTCGCACGGTAATTAAAAACCGTTCGGTTATATTCAATCGGAACGAAACTTCGTAATAGATGGCGCTCCGGGCAATCGCATGTGGGAGAAACTAATCTGGAAGAATGTATTAGTTTCTTCGCGAATTTTTTGGCGAAAATCTTTCATTTTACGCCGGCGAAATCTGATTAGAAACGACACAATAGGCCTGCTTTTCTTGTTCCCGAGGTCCTCCCGAAATAGCGCTAATTCCCGAATCCCTTATCGTCCAGTTTCGCTCGACATCCATCAACAAGCAGCTCGGCAATTTCGTTTAATGCTGGAGAGACCGAGAATAGAGGGCCCCTCGACTCGAAATTAACGCGTCTCAAAACACCGGTCGCCGTAAATAAACACCCTGTGGAAATGGCTCCCGCCGGAGCGCTCGACTCCATTGATTTAAATTATCTCCGAGCATTTAAACTGCGCTTTTTTTGTCATACATTCGCAGAGTATCCGATCAATCTTTCGAGACGGGCGTTTAAAACCGACCCCGGTGGGATTCCGTTCGATAACGAACGGGGGGAAATTGCGGAATGTATTCTAGAGAATTGTACTCACCCGGTTTGGATGTCGTAGACGATGTACTGGGCCAAGTAGGAGTGCCTGAAGAGTTTTTGCACGTTCAGGGCCAGCAACAAGTACTTCTGGTCGGGGGATAATTGGAATCTCGACGGATTCAGGCGCATCTGTGGAAGAATTTCGCGCTATTTCTTTGGGATATTATTCGAAAACGACATCGAAAGTGGATGTGTTAGTACCGCCTGTTTAGGGCGAAATTAAATTACCAAACGAATTTCCTGCAGCAATCACATTATTACATACATGGAGAGCCGGTGGAAATTGTTTCTTGAAACTCACGACGGCGGAAGGTCGTTTGTTATACTTTAATATTTGAATTGCGATGAAAGCTCGCTGTATTGGCTTTATCGATTATTGAATATAAAGCTCGTCGGTGTTATCCTATATAAAGAATACTTTACGACAAAAGCGACCGAGCAGGCTTTAAAAGAGGGTAAATGTAATGGAAATTTAATACGGCGCTTTCAGTGCGGTTGTATTCATCAACTTTACAAGGCTATTGAGCTTGAAAACAAACTTTTTATTCGAATACCTTAATAATTTCATCATCCGCTAATTTATACTTACGAAAGTTTGGTTCGACATGATCGTTCTAACGGTGAGATTCGATGCATTCAATATGCTGATACCGCCCCATTGGTCTTTAAAGATCAATTCATCGTCTGAAACAAAATATCACTGCATTTTATCGCGTGAATCGTTCGAGGCGATGCATGCGAAATAAAAATAAAACCAATCCGCGATTTTGAAGCTTTTAAAGCCGGCGTAAATCAGATTTCGATGGCTGAAAGCCGGCGACTTGGCGCAGTCGGTAGGATGGTTCTTATTTTTCTTGCTATTCGCTCTGTATGCGATATATTCGGTTTGACCTGGACTGAAAACCGGTTTAATTGACGTTCTAATTTAGTGGATTGCAGGCCATTTGCTCGCTCCACGCCGGATGCTATCTAGTTGGAATAACGGCGATTTCTGCGAGCGCTATCCGAAACTCCATTATCGCAAATGGGGCGCGATAATTTTAGAGAAAAACTTGAAAAAACAGGGAAATGTTTGTCATCTAAAGCTTTGTCTTCTACGAGGTTTTCTTGCGAAATTACTAGATCTAATAGGATTTTAGTTAGTAGATTAATAAAGCAGAAGAAGCTTTTAGCAAAATTGACCGGTAAGTAATCGATTTTTAACTAATTTATTTACCCTTTTCAACCTGTAAATATGCATACTTTGAGTAGACTTGAGTTCAACAGTATTTAACAGCTTTTAGAGAAATGCATTTCAAATTTTATACAGCACGGGAGCTTAGTGAAGCATCCATAGATAGAAGTTTAATGGAGTATTCGGAATTGTGTTATAAAAAGAACAAATAAAAGTTTGACGTTCAAATGAACATAAAAACCGGCTGACTGGTTTTACTGAAAAGACGATAAAAGGGCCTCCGGTATTTTTAGCTCCGCCAATCGATTGAAAACTTGTCAATCTAGAGTTGTTAACAATTTAGCAAAGAAATTTCGGCTTCTCCCTCTGCGAATTTTGTTTTACATGGCCGTTCGGGTTGTATGTTTTATGTTTTATTCCGAGTTTATATCGCAAGGCCGTCATAAAACCCGAAAGCGAAAAGGTCCTTTTAATGTTGTTTGCAACTGAAAAAAAAACTGCTCCACGAAATTCCACCCAATTTCGCCAAATTTGTTTTGCTAAAATTCAATCGAAACTAGCCGACTCAAAACGAAATGTTAGAATACAAAGAAAAGTTGTGTTGAAATTCGCAATTAAAATTCTATTCAAGTCGAATAACTTTAATTTAATTTTGGCGCAATTTCGATTACCGCAACTCCACGAATCGTTTAGTAAAAGTTTATTTTCAATTGCTTAATTACTAAATTAGGTTCCCTAATTTTAGTTGATTCGATTTACAATTATTTCAATGGCATGTTGTGAAATATAATCCGCTTTTATTTTCGACCCGCATTCGTACAACACCAAACCCACTCCGAATTGAAACGAAACTCGACTCAAACGAAAAAAAAAATCGTTCGAAACATCGTCGCATTTAATTAAAATAACGCACATCTGCAGCTTTACAATTCCGACGCTTCTGTTGTTGAATTGGAGCGCCGATTACAATGAACGCGAGCGCTCGAATCGAAAAATATCACATAAATAGAATACCCCGTTCTCTCTACTTTTACAAGTTCTCTCTACCTTTACAAGTTCTCTCTACTTTCACAAGTTCTCTCTACTTTCACAAGTTCTCTCTACTTTTACAAGTTCTCTCTACTTTCACAAGTTCTCTCTACTTTCACAAGTTCTCTCTACTTGTACAACTCACCGGATATCCAGGAGCCGTTGAATCTGAGCGGCTGGAAGTCGTGGTTCAGGATGTCCTGCAGCTGGAACCTGTTGCCCTTGATCCTCGGGCCCCCGTCGGGGGGCGTCAGGAGCACCACGGAGGTCACGATGAGCGCCAAAACGACGACGATCACCAGAAGAGCTATGAGGATGCCGCGCCAGTTCCTTTGGTTCGTGTTGCTGGAGACCAGCTGGAATCGGATTTGAGTATTGAGAGATTTTTTTTTTTTAATTAAAACTTTTCGACGAGTTCGGTTGTTTAATTATTGATTCGTCGCCTTTTACTCGGCGAACGGAACAAAGCGAAAGGAAGTTCATTATTTAATTTCGCTGGGATTCGTTTCTGAGCGAAAGGGTTTTCGAAAACGACTCGCTTCGTGAACGGGATAATTTTTACCGATGTCCAATAAGGTGGAAGTAACGAAGTAATTTCGAAAGAAATTGCGATGGATGAAAGAATAATGAGAAAGGTAAAGATATATACACCATAAAATAAATACTAAATGTATTTATTACGAATGGAAACATTTCGAACGCTCTGCAAACGACGTTAATAAATACATTCCGATTTTTATTGGCAAAATACCAAATCAATCGAGCGAAATGTCGTTTACTTAATGCGTTCCATATCTTTGAAATCTTTACATCTCAACAAAAACGCCGGCGTTCTTTCGGAGATTTCTAAACTCCTCGTTTTACCAGTAAAAAATATTTAAATATCGAAAAGTATTTACACAATTACGAAGTTTCTTTCATTTACCAAAAGCCCGAAGAAAAACGAATACTTTTAACAAGACTAAGCTGGAATAAAAGCTCTCCTAGAAATTGGTAAGTTCCCTTTGATTTTCCATCATTACCAAGCGAATATTCGCAAAAAAAAACCAATTTAAACCATCTGGTAAGTAACGGCTCGGTTTCCAGACCACATCGAAAACAATTACGGATCCTTATTCAATCGCTTTGCCAGTTTTTCGTCCTAGCCAAAGAACACAAAAGAACTTACCTCGTCATCGAAGGGATCGCGATCAGCCATTCTTGATTAATAGTCAAACGTTCAACTTAAGGGCGAAAAATGAGCGTATAAAAACATTCCGGCGTTCTCTTATTATCCTTTCGGCGTCCTTAAAACACGTTTTTTTTTTCTTTTCTATCCCGCAAACTTCATATTACAGGCGATGTTTCACTGGCGACGACCGATCAAAATGAAAACTGGAAACCACAGAAAGAAATATTTAAAATAAAAAGTTCCTCTCCACTGTGTTGTGGCTTAAGAGGTTTTTAATTAGACACCAAATGCAAATATTCTTAATTAAAATAGTTGTTTAAATTTGCAGCAAATTCTTTAATTGGTTATTTGCTTAAAAAGGGGTAACTTCTACAACTCTTCTAATTATATAAGTTACATAAATTGGAATGGTAAAAAAAAAAACTTACAAGTATACAAGAATAATACTTCAAAGACAACGTGACCTAACGCCCTACAATACACAATCAAAAATCCCCAAATTAACAGGATAACCAAAGAATATAATCGAAGAAACCGATGGGTGCAATCGGCGTGGTTTTCCCAACTCACCAGTGTGGTTTCCTTTCATCATTTTAGCGATGGAAAATATTGAACAAAACTGCGCTCGTCGAGTCGTCGCGACGCGTCTATCCCTATCGACGGCGGCGCCTGAACTGACCTGAGCCCCGAATTCCACGGCGCTTGCGCATTACCGCATTGTTTATCATTTCAATTCTTTCGCATGTGGAAACAATCCACTTGCGGTTTCGCGAGTTTACTCTTTAATTCCGCGTTTGGATTTTGGTGTTCGGTGAAAATTCTTTTCTTCGAGTAAATGGGAATTTTAATTATTGGAAATTGGTAAGGTTCCTCCAGGTGGATTGGATTGGTGTTGTATTTAGGACGAGTGAAAGTGTGGAAAAGGGGAAGGTTTAGATAAGGGTAGTTTCTTTTGAGATTATTCATAATTAGTTCTTATAAGCGGTAGTAAAATATCTAATGGCGAATTTTTATTAAAATATTTATTTCTTACAATAAGTTAAAATTAATTAAGTGCTAGTTAAAATGCGACAAAAACTGTCGAGTCGATAAATAAAATGTTCTTCTAGTTAACGAAGGTAAAATTAAAATATTACGCTGTGAAATAGGCAACTGATCCGGGTCTTCTGGCGTCCGAAACAGCGCTGATGCAATTAGTACTGGAATTCCTGCTAATGGCCACAATGGAAGCGAAACCGTAATCGTCTTTGAAATCGTACTTGTGGCCGATTTTCGCCAAACCTTCGACCAAATCTTTAGCCTGAAAATTCACAAAAACCTACAGCAAATACCTCGAAAATATCACAACACCCACCTTCTCTCTAAATTCCTCCTCGTAAATAATCTTCATCGGTACTAATTGATGGTGCAATCGCCTTTCGTTTATGGAATCATCGAGGCTCATCTTGAACCAGAGGTTCTTGATGATTGTCTGAAATAAAAAGAGTTATAAAAAGCAGCTATAATTAAATTTTTTGCTCTTCACCTGCGCCAGAGCCGTTGTGATTTTACTGCCGCCAGCGCCTCCCGGTACCAAAACAACATTCTGGTTGCCATCGAGGACGATGGTGGGCGTCATGGAGGACATGGGTCGCTTTCCCGGTCGAATAAAATTAGCCTCTGCTGGCGGTAAACCGAACCCGTTGATCGCGTCCGGTTGGGAGAAATCGTCCATGCTGTCGTTCAGGATTATGCCGGTGCTGTTGGATTGGAATCCGGCGCCCCAACTGAAAATTTCCAGTAACGAAAATACCGATGGAAATATTGGAAATCTTCTTCTTCTTTTTCTTAAGTTTTTGGCCTCAGCTGCCAGGGCTGTTCGGCCGAAATATTGGAAATGTTTGCGCTTACATGAAATTTATGGTTCCCGTGACGGACACGGCGTCGCCGCTGGGAGAGAGAACCGAAATGTGCGAAGTCCCGTGGTCTTGTTGGAAATCGGTGGTGGCGCCGTAGTAGAACGGATCTTGGGATGTTTCGTTGTCTTTGATCAGCTTGCGCATTTCCCGCGCGTACCCCGGCGATACCAGGTTGCTTATTATCTGGAAAATATTATTTCTGACGTCCGAAAACAGGCTATTCGTATGCATTTAGAGAAGGTGTCCCGTTGTTTGAGGACTTTTCGAGCTTCACTTTAACGCCGAACGATCGGAGCATCGACTTATCTCAGCCAATCAGCGTCGCGCTACATATAAATCGCGGTTGTGTTGTGAGATGACAGCTCGAGCTGTCAAAACTGTCATTATTTTTTGACGTTTCGAAGAGAAAATGGAGAATTAACATTAACCGAAGATACGCGAGGCGTGATGTCAACAACAAAATCATCGCTGATTAAGGTATATTTTTATATTTTGCATCTATTTTTAGTTTGATTAATACCTTTTTTTTATAATTCTATATAATTCGTACGCATACAACCGTGGTTCTTTAGAACAATCGCCTCCTAGCGGCCGTTTTAGGAACCCCGTTTTATCCTCAAATAACGGGACACTTTTTCGACCTAAGTGATCGTTTTCAAAGCGATTTTGCAAACGTTTTAATCGTTTTTTACCTTGTCGAAATCGACGAAATCGGGATCGCCGAATTTCGTGCGACTGGCATAGCCCAGCTTGAAGCTCTCGATGATCCTTTGATTAGTTAGAACGGAATAGGGCCGGGTGACGTCGATGTAATCGCTCAATATGTTTAAAATGTAGGTTAGAATGTGACCACTGGCGGGCAAAGGCGACGAAATCACCGTGTGGTTTTGATAGATAACACTCTTTACCGGTTTCTTCCATAAAGGGCTAAAAAAATGATCGTTTTTATATTGCAGTGTAAATGAAGAATTCGATATTATTTACTAATAATTATTCATATCTTCCACAGTCATGATTCCGCCTTTGTCTCTTATATCCTTCACAAAACCTTCCGTTAGAGATCCCTGGTGTAAGGCGTCTCCGCCTTCTGCAGCGATCGTTTCTAACGTTTTAGCCATCCTCAGTCTCTTCAATCGCTCGCCTTCTTTGTAATATTCCTTCGTGCCCTCGTGGAAAAACGTATCTCTACAAACAACCACCTCATTATATAGATTTATCGATTGGTAACAATGGTGATCGTACCTCATGACTGGATCGTTATACAAAAGCTCCTTCCTCATTTCGAAGCGAGACTCCAGAAATTTGGTAACGTATTGCCCGTTCCTGCATATATCTATGGTGGGTTGCACCAGATCCTTCCAAGGCAAACCGCCGCCGAATCTCTTGTAGAGCTCCCAGTAGCCCCGCAGCTCTCCCGGCACCGCCACCGACCTGCCGCCTACGAATCATTTAGTACCAACGAGAAATTTGTAGAGTGTAGTTGTAGGATGTACCTCGCAGAGAGGCGTTGGCTGGCTGGCCGCGGTACATGTCCTCGGCGGCGGCGGCCGGCGCCGTCTCCCTGGCGTCCAGCGCCCAACTCTCGCCGGTGGTTTTGTTGTATATGACGAGGAAGAAGCCGCCCCCGAGGCCGGTGCTCTCCGACATGGCGACGCCTTCGCAGAAGAGCGTCGCTATGGCGGCGTCCGCCGCGTTGCCGCCTTTCTTCATTATCGATCTGGGAAAGTTAAACAGTGTAGAGGAATTGCTGTTGAGGAATTGTTGTTGAGGACTTGCTGTAGAGGAATTGTTGTAGAGGAATTGCAGTAGAGGAATTGCAGTAGAGGAATTGTTGTAGAGGAATTGTTGTAGAGGAATTGCTGTAGAGGAATTGCTGTTGAAGAATTGCTGTAGAGGAATTGCTGTAGAAATCGAATTCTTCTGCGGTTACGATAAAATAGCGAAAAAACTATTCGCAAAGATATGTTGAGTATTTATGAGTTTCCAGTAAACACATTCTTGCGTTCAGGATCGATTCAAGCGTAAAATTGCTGATAAAAAGTCCAATTTATTTAAATTATTAGTTTATTGCACTTACACTCCGATATCGGCGCATCCGTGCCCGCTGCTCACCACCGCTCCCAATTTTCTATCACCATTTTTAGTTGCTAGTATAATCAAAGTTATAATTAATATATCTATGATTATTAATGACAACACCCCTAGGGTGGTTATTAACATAGACCTTTTCCTAAAAACAAATTAAGTGGATTATAATAAAATTTTGCAAATGTTAACATATAGCTATTTGGGCAATTTGTTTGTTTAAAATTGTTATACATAGACCTCGTCTGGTTCCGATTTTGTTTATAAAACATTCGACTTTTTCCGAGGCGCTTTAAACATTTTTATCGTTTCAGAATTATCGCTTATTTAAACAACGATTATGCCAGCAATTCGCTAATGAAGCATAAAAATATATTCGATTTTTATGCCACCTATAATCGATTATTTTAGGAATTCGGAAAATTTTTACGAATCGAATCGCAACTTGCCGAATTTCGAACGAGAGCCGAGTTAATATGTTGTTTGAAGAACGAAAATGTTACGAATTACCGAGATATTCGCAGTTTATCGTGAATAGACAAATCTTCTGAATGACAGCGTGATGATTGTGTGCGAATTGCAGCTTGTTTGAGTATCTAAATGAATTTCAGGTTCGTGGAATGGATAACTGAAAACTATCATCAAATAATATTTACGTTCTCAGAAATACGCAAAGGATAATTGAAGGTTTAATTAATAAAAAAATGCATAGTGAATGATCGTTCGAAATTGGATCATTATTGAAACAAGGCCTACAAGTAGGTATAAATAAATTGGAGAAAAAAACAGCTACAGACCTTAGAAAATGGAAGTTTCTAGTGGATATAAACAACATCTAAAATATTTCTGTAAAACACTAAAACAGTTATAAAGAGAATAGAACAAAGTGAAATTTATGAACAAAACGAAAACGTGTTCGTCATGATGCGATTTGGCGAATTTTTAGAAAGTCTCGAGCCTGAAAATAGCGATCGATGAATAATAAAATCGTCGAATACAGAGGCAATCGACCCAGTTCGATTTTAATTACTAAATTGGTACAAACCCGGCAAAATAACCCAATTAAGGTCACGTTCAAGGGACATGATACAATATCTTTTGTCTATCACCAATTGGATCTGAATGGGCCACGTTTCGACCGTCCGATTCCGCTCGCTATTTATATTTAAATAACCCAAAAACCTGCGGAAAATTTGAATTACCGGTATATTTAAAATTCAAAATTCACCAACGTTCGACGACCTAACTAATTAACTTAACGCGATAATATTATTTAAATTCCAAAACTTACATTATAATCCAACCAAAAAAATAATATACAAATTTCTAATCGGCGATCTTCAACTAAATATCAACTTCTGGCATTTCGGATTTGTTAATGATTATATGGAGGCTTCTATCGCGCACTCCGACTCGGACCCCCCCAAACTAACACTGTTTTCAAACTGTGTGATTTGTAGATGAACATTTGTGCGCTCAACGGCGATTCATACAGGGTGATGCGCGCTAATAAAACCACTTACATTCTTTATTTATACCTACTCTGTATATTACCAATATCAGGATTACATTAGGCACTTAACTATTAAATTAGTGTATCTTTTATGAATCGTATCTAAGCGTTGATATTCAGTCGTCTTCCTTTATTTTTGTACTTTATACGCCTATAACAACTCCACACCAGCACTATTATAGTATAATTTATTGCACAGCTAAAAATACACATCGTTTTGACTATTAAATTATGTAGCAAATCGCGAATATTTGGGCAATACGCTCTGTATATATTAGTATCAATTTCGTTGGTGAAAATTCGTGCTGGAACGAATTATCTGTCGTTAAGTGAAAAGCGAAATACCGATTGAAAAAAAATCCGCAATTTTGCCGTGTCATCGAATCGTCTGCTCGACGAATATTTGTAGAAGAAAATTAGAAAAATTAGAAGTCATTGGACATCCCGAGGGAGTTGTGTCACTAAATATAAAACTTGTTGGTATTACGATAGATTTTCAGCCAAATATTTGAAGAAGGAGAATTTATGTGATTTATCGAAATACAATCACCCCTGAGATATATCGTTTTAGGCTGTTATTATCTGTAGGTTATCGACCAAATTGGTTGTTCTGTCCTGTGTGATTAATAGAATAATTATACCCAGTTTGGTCGATTAACCACAGGTCGTAATAATGATGCATTATGCCGCGAGTATATCATTTTAGAACTTAGTTGAAACGATAGTTATGAAACGAAAAATTACAGGTGTAATTAAGTAACTTTTCCTGCAATCGATGTATCACGAGCCCTACGATAATTCGTTTTGTTTCGAATTTTAATTACTTGAATGTTTCTCCGTAGTTAATTTTTTGTTTTTTTAAAAGAGCAAGGCATTTAATCGAATAAGGAAAAGACTTTTACTGAGAAATTTTTCTATTATTTATATAGAACAGAAAAAATTGCCTATACCCAGAAAAATACCCAGCGGAATGAACGATAATTTACATAATTGAGTGGTACAAATTGTAAGTTATCGATCAAATTGTCATCGTTTTTTTTTCTGATATTTCTGCCAGTTTTTGACTGAATTTTAAATATCCTAACGTTACAAAAACGCGTTGAAAAGTTGAAATTTAGTGTCAAACAGGCGATAATTAGAAAAAAATTTCTTAAGTTATATCAGGTAACAATAGTCATAATATACCACCTAATCGGATCATCGAGTCACTAAAATACAGGTATGTTTAAGTATTCTAAATGTTAAAATAATTAGTAAATTGCTTATTTTGTTAACAATCGCAATAAAATAGATAGAATATAATTATCCCTTTTAAATATGGCAAATACAAAAATCTATACAAAATTAATATAAAATTTTGTCTAAATAATAATAAAAAAAAAATACATTTGTTAACGCGCAACTCTACAAATAAAAATAAAGAGTAGTCGGACGGTTTCGATGTAAACTCGTTTGGTATCATAAAATTAAATAATACAACATACAACTTAATTGATAAAACTCATTTTGGCACTAAACTTAAATATCATCTGGGATATTTCCATCGAATCGACGATCAATCATCATCTTGATCATCGTAATCGTGTTCACCGTAATCATAATCATCTTCCTCTTCGTCGATTAGCTGTTTACTCTCTTCACCACCGGGACACTGGGAGCATCTACAACAACAATTATTTTTATTTACCTTTTGGAATCGGTATAACGGGAGACCCACCTGCTCTCGTTTATTCCGAATTTAAGGCAATATTGACCTATGCATTCGCAACAGCCGTCGTGGAACCACCGATAGCTCGAAGCTCCCATGCTCAAACAACTCGATTTGCATTTCGTCCAGCTCATGCACTGCGCCCAAAAGGCCACCGTGCAATTCACGGTAATCATCGTAAGCTTATTGGGATCCACTTCTTGTTCCACGCTCACTAAAACAACACCTAAATTAACACCTAAATCCGGTAGAACCCCGCGGAGTGAACTTACACATGGTAAGTTTGATCTCCTTCTTGGGATCGTAGTGATTGAACTCCATATCGACCGGAAACGTTTTGGTCTCCCAGCGTTTGTGCGGATCCGGCAGCTCCGTTAAAACGGCGAACAACTGGGGAACCACCTCCTCGAAGTCCTCCACGTGGGACTTCCTGCTGAGGTCGGTGCCCGTGTGGTTGGGCTTCGGGCACATGTCTGGAACGATGAGATAATTGGATGATCTGGAATGGTGTAATGAATGGGGTACTCACCGACGCAGGAGCAGCACTCGCTGTAGAGGTAGCTCAGGCAGTTGAAGCACTCCTTGCAGCAGGTGCAGTTCTTCAGGTCGCAATTGCAGGACTTGGTGAGCAGGCATTTGCTGACGACGCTGCCGCAGACGGCTTCATTGCAGGTTTCTGCCGTTTTGATGGTTAATAGGAGAAGGACGGCCAGGAGGGCCGCTGCGATTGCGTATTTTAACATCGTTGTTGGCTGGATGAAATTTGGTGCATTAATAGTGGCGATTTTTTTTTTTTTGTAAGATTTTAAACGGTTTTGGTTTCAATGTGATAATGTGCAATAGGGAAACTAGATTTATTATTAGGTAAACGAATCGAAATAACAAAGTTATATTTAGAAATTCTACTGGGAAATAATAAACAATTTTCATACACGAGAAATTTCCATAGAGCATTTAAATTCAAATGTATTCCGCTGGTTATTGAATTTGAAAAATTTGCCTAAGCTTCAGGTCTTCTTCTCTTCTATTCTTATTTATATTGACTTATCGTTTTTCGACCTTCATTTCTATATGATATGTGTAGACAAATTGAAAATTTTGTTATGTCCAATTAATTTGTTTATTTCAAAAATTTCTATTATTATTATTATTAAGAAGCATACAAAAAAAGAGAGCATTTTAATGATAAAATAAATGTTAATAGATATTAAACAAAGCTCGCCAAAGTATTTGCATTCGACTAAAAACGAAGAAACCTCAGTTGTATAGCAACCGCGTACTTACACTCACACCCAGAGGCGCTTTTAAGTATCTCATCCCAAGATTTAATTAAAATAAAAAAAAAACCAACAAACCAAACCTCTATTACTAAACCTAACTATGCGATTATCGAACACACAAACTATACCTTTACTCATTTACTGCTGCGCACTTAAACTTCCAATAATCCCGGGATCACATTTGCGTAACGCGTGTAGAAGAATCGAAACGAACGGAAGAAGGAATTATCAAATAATTTTTCGACGAAAAATAATGTGTACACTTCGTTAGCACTCAAGCCGCCTTTCTTCGACGATGGTCGGAACACGAAACTCGTTTGGTTCGGTATATTGGTATGCTGAAAACCGAGATCCGAGAGGCTCGAGAACCGACTTAAAATGATACTAATGAGACTGAATGAATACCTTCGCCCCACTCTGGGCTCTCTTTATACAATGGTCGAATGGAAAGTGAATTCTATGAATCGAAATATTCAATATTACGGGATCTAATCAAATAGACTTAACTTGCGAAAATCGATACGCGAGTTTTGAAATTATCGCTTGTTTTCGATTAAGTGTTGAACCTCTATGCATATCATTTTGTTGTGTGCTAATTGACTAATTGGTTTTGATGTTGTTTTGTTGTAATTATCCTATTAAAGACTATACCAAACTCGTATCTCGTAACTAGTGAGTAAACAATAAACTAGTATTGGTACTTTAATTTTACTATTTAAATACTACACTCGCATATATTTCAATAAATAATTTATGTAGCTAGTGTTCAAATAAAATAAAATCAATTCTAACGCGTAATAATGAATGTTATTAATAAAAGGGTTCGGTTAGGACGCCACTGTGAGTGTGCTCCAACCGCCAAACGAATTGACCACCAACCGAGGATTCCTCCTTTTAAAATCGGGCGCTTCGAATTCTACGAAGAAAAGGTAAATTACCGTACCTACCTGCCAAACTGGCGTTCCTTCGGAGATAAATAAAATACAGGATACGAATTAGCGGCGCTCATTCATCTTTTGACGAGATTGTTAGAGGCGCAGAGAGGTATAAAAATATGTCGCATAACTTGGAATGTTAAGTGGATGATAATGGAATGATTAGCGTGGAAGTTGCCACTTTTCGTGCTCGAGCGGATTTTCCTAGAGTCATGGTCGTTTAACTAGTTTTGGGGGTTACTCGATAATTGAATGACTCGGATGAGCGGAAGTTTTAATACAAAATCGAACATCTGGCAACACCTATTGGACTTTTTGGTCGTAGTTGAAACTTGGATGGATCGGATATTAAAAAGGATTTACCTAAATCTCCATTAGAGTAATGGTTATTTTACAAAACTGTAGTTAATTGACTATTTTGTAGTTATTAGTTCAATTAATCGAGCAAAAACAGGATGAGTGGAAGGTTGGCTGATGAGTGGTGTTTGTTGAAATGTCAAAACATCAATTCAATGACTCTATTATCTCTCAATTCATACAATTATATATTCAAAATATATTTAAAGCAATTACATTTAAAACTTATTCTACACAAATTTAAATGTCCTCATTGCTCGAACGTCAACGTCACGCAAAAATTGAAATCCGAATCCTCCGAAGATTGCCGAAATAATTGAGCGTGTTGCCAGGCTGTGTCCCCTTTACCGCCCGACAATGTGGCGGTTAAAATCAATTCGCTAGCACCGGCAAAATCGTTCATACTAAACGCCTCGGTATCTACAATTAATACGGTGTATGAGTTTATCGAAGAGTATTCGTTTGGGTTTTCTCGTTCAAATTACCTTTGGGCAGTATTATGCAATTATTACTGGAGCACAATTTCAAGCCGACGTTGCCGGTTTCGTAGGTTTGTTGCACGATCTGCACAGTGACGTTTTGTAATGTTCTTTTACAATCAGCCAAATCAAACTTCCACGATATGGAACCCTTTTCAACACCCTCTGGAAAACCAAAAAACAAACATTACATAAAAGAAATGCGTGGATTTGGTATTATTTGCGATTACCATTTCGCGCTAAATACACCATTTTCCAATCGATTTCTTCCTTCCTGAAAATTTTATCCGACTCGAAAATTCCGTTTTGCCATCCGTTCAACACCTGTATCGTTCTGCCGCCTGAAATATATTCGTATTTATTTAACGCGGCCGAATATCGAATAATTACGGAATTATCGACGAAATCTTCGGGATTTATTTTCCATACGTGTTGCGATTGAACTCCATTCTCGTCGGTTTCACCGCGGGCTATTCGCCACATCTCCTCCCCCGACGTTCTCCCTTTACGATCCTCGGATTTAGCCGTCCTAATAAATCACCGATTAATTTATTATCTAACAGAGTACGAGTAGATTTTACTTTTCCGTTAGGAATTCCACCAACTCCATCAGGTTCCTTCTCATTAGATACTTCCTTCGCGATGCAGACAGGTTCTTCTGTAGTTTGTTTCTGATGTGAAGGAGCGCGTCCAAAAATTCCTTCTCCGAGCAAGCGGTTCTCCTTTTGAGCACCTCCTTGTGTTTGCCGGTGTACCTCCAAGTAACATCTTGAATATCCTCGCCTGAATAGGCTACAACGTAAGAGATCTTCTTGTTCCATCCCGTTTCGTACACCAACGGAGTATCGCAGATGTTTTCGCACGGATCGCAATGCAACCAACGTCGTTGGGTTATCGAATAAACCTACAAAATTCCCAGCTTCACCTCCACATTCTACTCGAAAATAATACGGCCATGTTTTTTTTTATTACATAGCCAGATAAACAAAGTGTCATAAAAAACCCGGCCTACTATACTCTATTTAAAAACTAGGAGGAGCGATTTGAATTTAAGTTGGCAACACTCGCGTTTGTTTATTGGTCAATTACGAATCAAGTTACCGGTTTACCACCATTTTGAGGTTATGTTTTTGAAATGTGAAGTATTTAATATGCTCTATTTAGGTAATTTGTTAATTCATTCCTTCTTTTAACATAATTACTGTGAGTTTACTCTAGTAATCTAGTAACTTTTTTGTGTGTAAGTCAGGCTTCTCGAAATGCTCCTCCTAGCTTTTAAATAGAGTATAATACACATACTTCGGTCCACACGTGATCCCCTTGATCGATCACATATCTGCTATCCCATCCCATGGCTCGACAACAAAGCGTAAAAGCATTTGCCCATTCTCCGCATCGTCCCCGGCGAGTCTCCAATAGGATATTGACGTCGTTGTAGCGCGGGAACGGCGTGAATTTCTTGCACTCCTTGCATCTATGCAACTGAAAACGGAAAGAACGTGCCTACTGGGATAGTTCGATGGTTTTCGTTTAAATACCTCCACGCGATCGGTGTACTGCATTAGCTTGCGATCGTTGCTCATGTGCGAGAACTCGGTGGGGTCGCCGCAAGATTCGCAAGGCGGGCTGTCCACCCACGTGAAAAAGTCCTGTTTGAACCAGCGGAGGAGTTCCAGGATGAGCATGTCTTGGATGGATATCTCGGGGTCGTCTAGTTTGCCTAAAAACGAATCGGATTACCGATGGAGTTTCGTTGTGCGATTAAACTCACTTTTTTTGATGTGCGTTTGAATGAGTCGCAACCTTCGTTGGGCGTTTTCTTCCATAATTGCAACAGGAATGAGCTTCTTCGCTCGGTCCTGGAGATGTTTGTCTTCATATTGCAAGGCACTGTGGGAGTTCCTCTCTAGAGACATTAGAAACGGATTCGTATACGTCTAAAAAATGGTTTATTTACACCAAATATTTAACTGTAAATGAGATACTAACCAGTGTTAAAGGTGGTAGAATTACTCTTTTAATCACCTCCTTGTTACTAGTCGATGTATTGGCTATTTGCGAAGAACTTGGATGGTCTGGATGCGAAATCTTAACATGATTATTTACCTTTGCTGAGGTACTTTTATTAGTTCTCCATAGCTCGGAGGCCTTTATGAATTCTTCTAAGAGTTTCAGTGGATTATCTACATCCATTTCGAACACTGTATCTTTCTAATAATGTATTGAATAGAAATGAATTAATAATCATTCGTTCGAAAGAAATACATACCTCTTGGAAACCCATGGCTTTTAAACATTCTATTCCTCCTTTAATGGCTAGAATTTTTTCGGAAATGGTGGCGTTGGATTTTTTCAACGAGCGAAGTTTCAAATTATGTGGGTTTTTTAGAATGTTTTCGGCGATTTTGGTGAGCAGTCTGAGACCTTCTTCAAAGACTTCCAAATCGTTTTCGGTTAATTTGGAAAAGGCTTCTTGAAGTTCGGAGTTCATATTTGGTCTTAGCTCGGTTTGTTTAGCAATAATTCACGGGAAGGTAATTGATAAAGTGATTAAACATTTATGACGTTTACTATTTCTATTCAAATTTTTGCATTTTGTTGTGTTTTGACGTTTAAATTGAAGGTTAGGATTTAACTATAGTTACAGTCCCGGAAATTTACCTTACTTCTTTGTACCTCAAAGTATTTAATTTAATTAAATATTAATTCATTCATATTCGTCGTTATTAAATATTCAACGATTTACTTATTTCTTCTGACGTTGTTTTAAAAACAATATTCCTATTAACTGAATTACTTAAATAGGCGAGGTATCTAGTAACTAAAAAGAAGTTGAGTTTGACAAGACAATTGACATTGACACTTGACGTCTTGTTGAAATTGGAAAATTTTTATTATAAAAAAACATAACATGATATTTTTCTATAACAAAATTAATAATAAGTTGTCGTAAGTTTCAAAATGATTAAAGCTATTTTAGTATTTAACAACCATGGTAAACCTAGGCTCTCAAAGTTCTATCAGTATTTCGTAAGTATTATCTAAATAATTGGTAATATAATACTGTTATCTGCGAATTACTTTCAGCCTGAAGATATGCAACAACAAATAATTAAAGAGACGTTTCAATTAGTTTCCAAAAGGGACGACAATGTGTGCAATTTCCTCGAAGGTGGCAGGTACATTAAATTAAAAATAATTTAACCAACTCCTCTGATTTTATTACCTTTTTTTTAGTTTAATTGGGGGTAGTGATTACAAATTAATATACAGACATTACGCGACCCTCTATTTCGTGTTCTGCGTGGATTCCTCCGAAAGCGAATTGGGAATCCTGGATTTAATACAAGTTTTCGTCGAAACTCTAGACAAATGCTTCGAAAACGTTTGCGAATTGGATTTAATATTCCACGTAGATAAAGTCCATTTCATCCTAAACGAGCTAGTTATGGGCGGCATGGTACTGGAAACGAACATGACTGAAATATTAACGAGAATCGAAGATCAAAACAAAATGGAAAAACAAGAGGTTAGTTCATTAGTTTACTTAATAATTATATTAATCGTGTATTGTTTAGGCTGGGATAACAGCGGCTCCTGCCCGAGCAGTCTCGGCCGTCAAAAACATGAACATTCCCCAGCAGATAAAAGACATCAAACTCCCCGACTTGCCGCAGGCCATCAAGGACTTGAAATTCTGACCTCGAACAGCCAAGGATTTCCAAAACCATCGGTTGCCCCCGTTTCACCTTCCCTCCCCTTCGGAGTCTCTTCTCGAAGAACCCTCTTCTGTTAAGTATACCTGATGCCTGTTACTCCACAGGCCGTCCGTTCGTTCGTTAAGGTTATATTTACCTTTTTTTTTATTATCCTAATATAATTGAAGTTTAATGGAAAAATATATTTAAATTGTTTACTCCAATTTTATCAATGATGTACTTTTTTTTTTGAAAGTTTAGTATGTTTATTTCTTTTTTATATAGGTACATTTAAACAATCACAATACGCCTAAGGCGACATCTACATTACAACATTTTTGGGTGCATTAATGTTGGTTAACGATAGAGTATTTAGAACAACCGCTTTTAGAAAGGAACGTCCTGCGAAAATTTTGTACAGGTTTTAATCCAGCCAGGGATTGCTGGGATGGATGCCAGGCGGGTGGTTCATGCAGGCCGCCTTGCAGGGCAAGTCGTAGCAGCAGGGCGGCGTGCAGGGCCGGTGCTTGCAGCAGGGCCGCTTGCAGGGCCCCGGCTTGTAGAAATTGGAGTATTTCGGTTTGCTGAAGCAGAGCTGCACCTCGGCGCACCAGACGCCGCACGGATGGTTGTCGGCCGGCGGGAACATCTTCATGTAGCAGGGCTTGAAACCCGTCGGGCAGCCGGCGTCTTCGGGACGGGGCCTCTTCTTCCTGCGTCTGACGTCGGTGCAGTATTTGGGGGGCCCGCAAACGCCCACGCCCGGATCGCATTTGCCCGGTTTATCGCAGGGGCTCGACGTGTGGTAGTCGCTGTTGTAGTTGTTGTAGAAATTCGAGTAGCGCAGTATGTATTCTTGGTCGGACGTCAAATTGGGCCACTGAAAATTGAGCTGTGCAGTCAAATTTCTCTTCGAGATTAAAGGGGCTTACAGGGCCGCAGCTTTTGGGGCAGGTAATCATCAAGGGTTTTACAGGTTCGGGGTAAGTCGGGGGGCATATGGGCGGAGGTGTGACCATACAACACATGGCTGCTGGGAACAGGACCGGGTTCGGTGGAGGAGCACATGGTCCGCAAGGGCTACGAATTTCAATCGCATTTATAATCGTAAATTTTGAAATAATCGATTAAATGTACTCACCTACACATTTTACACACGAAAATTTAAAGGACACTTACGAAACGTTAACGGATAATTTGAAATGATCGAGACCGAAATCCTGAAGAGCGCAATCTACGGAAATTTTAAGTGAAGTTTGTGTTTTGACTGACGCGAGTTTCTATAGCGACATTTTCAACGGTAATTTTTTTGTATAAATTTTGTTGTTAAACGTTTCAGCTCTCTAATTAGAAATTCGAGTAGCTCAAAAAACGACGAATCGACATAAAATGCTTGTTTATTAAGTACCCGCAATTCGATATATAAAAGTCTTATCGAATTAATTGTTTTAAAATAGTTTTGATTGAACATTAGAAAGTAAAATGTTAACATGATGTAATAAGATTCACTTTCGATACTGCCGGGCGTATGACCGTACAAAAAAAACCGATTGAAATGAATGTTTATATTCACCAATTTAAATTGTATATAATTGGATCGATTTTTCATAGCTGCTTTACGAGTTTAAATTTTATCACTAGATTATCGCAATATTTTACCCAAACATCCTTCGACTAGATTAATTAATTTAAACATTTATTTTAACAATCCAATTTCAATTGTCGGATATCCTCCTCGAGTGATCCGAAGTTGTTGCGGGTTTTCTTGGGCGTTCAATACTGCTTGCAATAGAGAAAGTAATAATGTCAACATTCGCGTATTATCATAACAGTATCGGCAATAATGCAACTGCCCACAGTTACATTTATCAGTTATTATAAAATTATTATCGGCCGCTAAAAATTCGAAAAATATACCAAGTGAAAAGTGCATTCGAAATATAACCGATAGGTACTCGAGGGTGCCAGAAGAAAGTGGTATAAAAGATAAAACGAGTAAGTTTCTATATTTTTTTCAACTTAACAGGTAGTTAGTTAACTAATCGAAAATTCCTAATTTGAATTTTTTCAAATCTTCCAGATTTTACATTAGCATTTCCTGCGGTAATCTGGCCGGTTGTAAGTGCTTTCCGAAACGTTTCCTGTACATCAATAACAACTATTGCGAGTCGTTAGTACACCGATCAAACGTAATCGAGGATGAATGTACAACAAAGAAGAAAAAAACGAAAATAAAAAGCCCGATTCGTCGGCGCCTTCGTCTCCTCAGGCTATGCATCGCTGGTATTTGTCACTTACGTAACACTCACCGGAGCAAAATGGATGTATGGATTCTCTCGAAGAAAGTAAGTATGTATGTAGATTATTTTATTGTGCTACGATGTATTAATTCGCCTGGTAAAAAATCGGTTGTAAATCAAATTAACAACGAATCGCGCTAACTTACAAATCGGTCTTTCTCCTTGGTATTAACCGATTTAGAACCTTTTTACGGCCGATTTTATTAGCGCAAAAACAACTTTCGATGAAACGATTTTATCTCAATAACGCTCTTATTTGTTAAATTTTTTCTTTTTCCACTTTCACTGGGAGACCGTTGAAATCGAGATTGGCGGCGTTGCAGAAACCAAATCATCGCCCGTCTCTAATTCGACAATAAATATCGAGATTCATTCGGTACAATTCGATTGTGCGGTAAAAGATCTTTATCAAACGCCGAAATCCGCTTTCGTTTTCGTTAATACTGCGATCGACTAATTCGAGTCCACCAACTTCAAATCGAATTTATATTTATATTGATAAATTTCATCGTTCCAAGCCGCTTCTAAGTACTTACTTGCAGTCGGAGGCTGCATATTTTAAAAGAGAAATTATCCATATAACGAGGCGATACGTCTTTTCGGATTTAATTAATAGATTAGAAAATTAACAAGGTCGAAAGTAAAATGGCGAATGGAAAGGCAAAAATTCGACGGGTTTCACCGTACACCAAACAGGCGATTTTTTAAAAAATCTCATCTCGAAAGTACCAGGAAATTGGATACCTAATCGTCAATCGAGATTTACCGTAAGGCCGAAAGGTCGAGTACTTGCTTCAATCGATCTTCGAGAATTTAATTTTCTTGCGCCGAGTGCACTAGTCTGGAACGACACCTCATTAAATCGTATTTTTCACTTTTTATACCGATAAAATACGGACGAGGAAGCGGATTTGGTGGATATACACTTGACTAGTCACAGCTCTAGCAATTTTTACCAAGTCTTACGGTAATATCTAAGTAACAACTCATCGATAAGTAACACAAAGTTGGACGATTACTGTTATTAGATTATATCGATGTTTATACTACAATTTACTTATTTACAAAGCCTCTGGCGGTGTAACATAGTAACAAGAATAAATTCACAGGAAATATCTCTAATCAAAGTAAGAAAATAATCACACATTATCCCGATATTTTGAGACAAAAAACGCAGTTCGGAAGTATCTTAAATTGAACGTGAACGAAATTTCGCCGAGTCATTATTCCGGTCCAATAATCCTTACATCATGTTCGTATGTAATTATTATTCCTCTTTATTGTAATGGTAACGATTCGTCTGTACCAAAATACTTCTCAAATTTTTGCTGGCCGAGTAAACGAGCCGAAATGAAATTACTCGAATCTACACGAGGAAATAATTACATAAAAATCGCCTAACGAGTTCCTTAATTAAATGCGCTTCCGTTGCACCGAGCGAGTTTGATGCAACCCGAAAATATTAGTACTAAAATCCATGAGAAAGCGAATCCGATTAACTCTAAAAGTGAAATTCATCCACACCTCCTACTATTTACAATTAGTTCTGGATAGGAAAATATCCAAGAAGATCACCAAGCAGTTTTTTCCATTGCCTCATTCACCAGCTAAACCCCGGGATCATCAACAAAGATTGTTACACTATCATAAATTATGCCGCGTGAAAATCAATCGATGGAAGAAAGTACAACAAACACCATTAATTACAATAACAACGTCGAGCAAATGCAATCCTTTGGATAAAGAAGCGATACTTCCGACGTCCGGCAACAGCACATGTTTCGCCGATAAATTACCGCGCTCTGTTAACCGATCTTCTCGGCCTTTCAGCCTTTCTTTCTGTTCTTCCTGGCCCACGCGGGGAACGCCATCGACATTTGCATGACGCGGAAATGCAACCCATAATTTTATTGAAGTTACTCACAGCGATAGAATTAGCTTAGTCGATTAATTCGAATAGGAATGTGTAAGATATTGAAACGATTATTCCGATGGATATTCGAATATTGCTCGAAACTCGGCGTAGTTTCGACTATAATTGATGTAGGAAGGAATTAATTTTTGTTACTATTCGGAAGTATTGTGTAATGGAATTTGCTGAAAAAATATTACGAACGGGTTATTAGTGCTATTCGGATCGGAAATTGTTACAAAAAAATACTTTTAGTTTAATAGAGCGTTGCGGGATTTGTGTTGTAGGCATATATCTAATATCTGGCGAGATATTGAGAAATGATAATGGAAATTTCGAGATTAGAGAAAATCGATTCTTATAGGTATTTCATTGGAATCTTTCATGATTTTATTAGAAAGTGTAATTTTTTACTTTTAATATCAAACTAGAAGTTTTTTATAAGTACATGAATTATCGTTAATTTTGGTTACCATGTAAGAAGATGATATTAACAAATTTTGTACTCTAGTATTGAGTGACTATAATATTCGTAAGCAATTTATATTAATAAAATTCAATAGTGATCAATTTTGAATTGGGGTGAATTTTGCTCTGCTCTGCTTTCCTCCACTCTTATACTTTTTGCTTTGCACTGTTTTCCTTGCTCTGCTCTGCTCTGCTCTGCTCTGCTCTGCTCTGCTCTGCTCTGCTCTGCTCTGCTCTGCTCTGCTCTGCTCTGCTCTGCTCTGCTCTGCTCTGCTCTGCTCTGCTCTGCTCTGCTCTGCTCTGCTCTGCTCTGCTCTGCTCTGCTCTGCTCTGCTCTGCTCTGCTCTGCTCTGCTCTGCTCTGCTCTGCTCTGCTCTGCACATCGATTCACGAAAAAAAAAATAGCGGCAAATTTCTAAACAAACAAAACAATTGTACGAAAACTAATTATATCACATAAAATCCGGCCATTGTGTACCGATTGCATTCCCCCCTCCACCCAATCCCCGGACAAATCGCCGGCCGTAAAAACTGGCAGCGCTTTTCGGAAAAAACGCCATTCCTAATTCGATCGTCGGCCAGTGAAAGCCTGAACTTTTCCTCGCGCATTTCGACTCGGCGAATCGGTTTTCTTTCGGTTTCAGTTCACTCGGGGACCGGTTTCCATCGAAAGTGGCGCGAAATCTCGTCGGTGCTCTCTCGGTACTCCCCGGATGTGGAGTAGGTCAGTAACGAACGATCGGCGCGATTTTTTTTTTTTTTTTTTTAATTTGATTCGTGCGGTTTGCGATCGAATTTGTGCGGGTGCTTCGTTGAAAAAGGTAAAATTGTGCTCGGGGTTCTGATGATAGCCCGTTGTCTTCGGGTTCTTGAGGTTGTTGTTGGTTCCGTTGTTTGTTGTATGTAGCGAATATAAGGAGGTTGCCGATGGTTGGTTTTCTTTCATTTTATTTTACTTTCTACTTCATCGCTTAACGGAACTTGAAGTGTAATAAGAAGTAACCAGATACTCGCCTTTAAATAATTTATTTACTATTTTAGCAGTTGCAAATAATCCTTGTCTAGGTACCTATTAACTGGAGTTCCCTTTAACCTTCGGTGTTTGATACAAGTTTCTAGCCTCTTTTAGAAAAATCTATCTAGTCAAAACAACGCCTAAATCCTAAATAAATAATTATTTGTGAAATAAAAATTGCGCCATGGTTGGTCGGTATTTTTCAAGATTACGACCTTGCTATCGCACCTTACGCGAGTGTCGTCAGGTTAAAAGGAAAGTTTTTTTTACCTTTACTCTCTCGGCGATTTATTGCCAAAACATTAAAAGCCGCGTAAAATAACGGTAGAAAGTAAAAACAAAATTTATAAACACTGGTAGTCGTGTGAAAAAAAAATGTATGACATACGCTATATGCAGAATTAAGTGCTTTTTAATCCAATTTAATGGTCGAACGAGAGTCCATCGATTCGTTTATCAAATTTCCAATTTGCAATAAAAAAAACTGCTATTAGCATTTAATTGTCGTACGAAATTCGCAACCAACGCGTGTTTAATTATCAATGTGGCGTAACAAGCGGAGGATGTGCCACAATTAATTTCACGATTGTCGTTTTAACACATTTTTTTGCACAATTTGTCCCATAAAAAAATCTGCCAAGTCGATTTATAATTAATTCGCTAAACGATTGCTTAATACTTATTGCGTAATTGTTTGGATCGATTCCAAGCACTTATAGGGTTGAAAAAAATTAAGATTTCTTGTGTATTAAGCAATGTTTTTGTTATTATAATATACCAAAAGTTTGATTTGCTAATAAACCTATTTTGATAATAAAAACAATTAATCTCCGCGTTGTTCAGAACACTTTAAACATTGGCAAATCGATATTGTGAAAACCCTTTCTTAATAGATAAAAGTGTCAAGGAACAATTCTAAATTTACATCCAAACGGAATGTTTTAAAAAAATGAAGTAATACATCTACCAATAAGCCTCAATTGACACAGAAATAGCCGAATTATCGGCGCTTCGATCCGAACACGACGAAAGGAACTCCCATAAATTCCGTCCGATAATAACAGCGAAAATCCAATTAGCAGGTGGCGCTTTAAATTAATCATCGAAATGTATCAATTGTTGGTTGCGTAACAGTTGGAATAGCCGGTTGGCTCTTATGTAAATTACAAGGAAGTAATTTGGCCGGGAATTCGTGCCAAGAATTCATTTTTTACCCGAATATGGCAACGCGCAAGCGATCGTGTTCTTGCCGCTTTACTTCCTCTTCGCGATCCGATATCCCCGCGTTGGAATTTTGATTGAACAATTTCTCGTTTATAACTAACTCCGAATTCTCCGAGACCCGCCTATGTTAATTCCTGCAACAATGACGCCCTAAAGCGGCTGTATTAAATATTGCATTTGTTGATTGCCTATTTGTAGTCGACATCCAAAAATGTCTCTAATTGCATTTTATTTCCATTTTCAGATCGTTGTGTGCTATTCAACCGTTACACAACGCAGATAAATAGCCGTATTTTTTTAACGAGCATTACAAGAAATTACAGTTATCGTCAACGACCAAAACAATTCACTCCATCAGTGGTTTATCATTCATCCAGTCGCTGATCGACAACAGTTTGTCCAGAAAATTCCCAATTTTCTGGTGCGATATAAAACTAGTAGTAAGTGCTTTGAAGTGTACTAAAACCATCGCTTTTATCGCGTTTAATCGCTGCCGCACAGTTTTGTAGCGACCATCGATCCATTCTATGCGTATGAAATTTTCTACAACAATTATCCTGGAAAAAGGATGATGGTAGGACACAGGCTGGGATTGTTCGGCGTGTTATTTTTCTGCGGATTGGCTAACGCGGGGATATTGGACAATTTCAACTGGGCGAGATCGGATAGGATCGAAGTGAATCTACCTTGGTTGCCTTGTAAGTATAAACATTCTCGTTTTATTGTCGGAAATTAATTCGATGTTTAAGTCGAAAACGAGACGCGCTGTTACGATGAATTGGGATGTCTCAATATCACCCGGACTTGGTACCATTTGATCCATCGGCCGTTCAACGTGTTCCCATTGCCTCGGTCTGTGATAAACACTAGATTTATACTGTACACAAGATTAAACCCATCCGATGTAAGTAATGATAGAAAATGGCAACTTTTATCTTGAAAATATCTGCTACTTTAGGGGCAATTAGTTAGAGCAGCTAATCAATCGATTGAAAGGTCCAATTTGGATATTAAGAAGAAGATTAAGTTTATTATACACGGATTTATCGACACACCCTTATCGAATTGGGTATGTTTTTTTTGTATAAATAGTATTTCTTTTAATAAAGATATTTTTTTAAAAGGTGAAGGAAATGAGAGATGAGCTTTTGAAATCGCAGGATGTGAATGTAATTGTTGTGGACTGGGCAGGAGGTAGTTTACCTTTGTATACACAAGCGACAGCTAACACAAGACTGGTTGGAATGGAAATAGCATTTTTAATTAACTATTTAATCGTAAGTTTTCTACTTAAAACATATATTCTACTTTAAACGAATTTATGAATAAAACATCCGTTATTTCATACAATACCGCGCCGTGTTTATGTAAACACGATTAATAAGTAGATTATAAAAAAAAAATGTTTGTTCAAAGCATTACCAAATACACCTACAAAGCGTTTATTATTATATAAGTCATAAAAGATTCAAGAAAGTAGGTCAGTGCATTCGCTCGAAGAACAAACATATTACGGCGACGATTTCGCATTTTCCACGGCTTTTCCTTTCCAGAAAAACTACGAGCTCGACCCCGGCGAGATCCACATCATCGGGCACTCGTTGGGCGCCCACACGGCGGGCTACGCGGGGGCCCTCGTACCCGGATTAGGCCGGATCACCGGATTGGACCCCGCCGAGCCCTATTTTCAGGTACCGATCAATCCGAAATAATCAACTTCTTCGTACTAAAATACATATATTTCACTGTGCAGGGCATGCCGCCTCACGTTAGACTCGACCCGTCCGACGCCGAATTGGTAGATGTTATTCACACCGACGGCAAAGGGATATTTTTCTTAGGTGCGTTATAAACCTATTTATAGAGTAAATTGTAATTTTATTCGATGTAGGGTATGGGATGTCCCAACCGTGCGGCCATCTGGATTTTTATCCCAACGATGGCAAGGAACAACCTGGATGCGACATTACCCAAACTCCCTTAGTTCCTTTGACTTTAATAAGGTAATTAGAACCTTTATCTCTCTTCTACAAACACACTTAATGAGTACTATTGAACTACTTTTTACAGGGACGGCTTGGAAGAAGCCTCTAGAGTCCTAGTAGCCTGTAATCACGTCAGAGCGATCAAATTATTCACGGACAGCATCAACACCAAATGCCCCTATATCGGTGAGTACCCTTACGTAAAGTACTACTCGTGTACCAACATTCGATTCCTTAGGGCATCAATGTAAGACATTCAATCAATTCAAAGAAGGTAGATGTTTCACGTGCAAACCAGGACCGGGTTGCGCCGTAATGGGCTATCACGCCGATTCTACGCCGGGTTTACTAGAAAACAACGAAGTACAACCCCAATCTAAGCTACAAGACACCGTAGGCACCAAGTACTATTTAACCACTGGAAAAGAACACCCCTATTGTCGTAAGTACGATAAAAAACGGCATTACACGCGATTTATCGTCGGTGAATTACAGATAGGATGTACAGGATAAGCATAGAGCTGGCTCATCCTTCGTATGCCGAAAATTGGGTGCAAGGGCACCTGAAGGCTTCGGTTTACAGCCCGTCGGGCGTGATGCACGCCGATCTCACGCCCTCGGGCGATATGAAATTAGAGCACGGAGCCACTTACACTACGGTCATTTCGCATCCGGTGGATTTGGGCGGAAACGTTAAAAAGGTAGAGGTCAGTTGGGAGTACGACATGAACGTTTTGGAGCCCAGGACTCTGTGCCTGTTTTGGTGCAACGATCATTTGTACGTGAGGAACGTGCTGGTGGAGGAGATGGAGATGCCCGGAAGAGGGTAAGGATTCTTATACGGTGAAGTGAAAGAATTGTTTGGTTTTTTTCTTTTTTAGGAAAAGGGACGCTCAGTTTTCCAGCAAGCTGTGCTCGAAAGGCAAGAAGGATTACGTAGATATAGCGAATAGGGGAAAGGGGATATTTTTAGATACGTGCCTTGTGGATAAGTATTCGAAAAGTTAGCGATGACCAAATGGAATCCGTCGCGTAAATGTTTCTGTGGAAATATTTAGATGGAAAATGTTGTAAATATTTTAATTTTTTTTTTCTCTGTAAATAATCTATTTTGTATAAAGGGATGTTTGTGTGTTTGTGTACATATGTGTCGAGATGACTGTGTTCTATTCCAGCCATAAAATACTTTTTTTTTATACCAGTTTTTATTTGAATTTATATTTATTTGATTATTCGGTTTTATGGCCTTCCTTGATTATGATCTATAGAAAGTAATGAACTTGTTATGTTTGTTCGATAATATCTTGTAACATGTATTTCAAAATATATTTTGAATTTTATAGTTCATTATTATATCCTTTCAAGAACTTATTACATATAAAAGTGCAAATGAAAATCAGATTCAAGAGATCGATTTTTAAAATACCAAATTCAAAATAATTTGTTTTATTTGAAATAAATACGATGCACGCTTAAATTAATCCTTTACAAAATTAACCACAAAATCGCTTTAAAACTTACAATACATTAAGAATCCATCTGTATTAATACTTTACCTGTACATTTCCTGTCGTCTATGTACTTGATAGCTTCGTTCACTTGAGACAGATTGTATTTAGAACTAATGTGAGCGCCTATAATGTTATCACTAGCTAATTGTAGAGTATCGTTAACGATGCTCCTGTATAAATTGTTGTTTTGAAGTCTGAGCTCCTTCAAACTGACCACGGATACGAACGAATGACATTTTGGGGTTGGCACAGTTTTGTAAAAATATGGCGCAGCGTGGAACAGTTTACCACCAACTGATACACTAAAATACAACTTGTAAATTATTGTACAAAATTGTATAAATTATTTACCATGATCCAATGGAATCCATTTTTTCACCAGTAGCGTCATAGACAATTGAAGTACCCTTGTTGTCGGTAATTTTCATACATTCTTTGGTTAATGTATCCGAAAAAGCTACAGTCTCGAATGCACCCCGTTGTCTGACCAATTCTCCTCGTTCCTCCGTATCTACCAATCCTATAACCTGTTAGTAAATGAAAGAATTAGTGAGTTAGTTCATTAAAGATTATTGATTTTCGTTACATTAGCTTTGTATACATTAGCAGCTATATCGATGGCTGCTAGTCCCATTCCTGCCGGTCCGGCGGTTATTATTACCCGGTCTTTTTCTTTGATTGTGGCCAGTTTAGAGAACGTGAATAGGGCTGTTGAGTGTCCGTAGGCTATCACTGCGGCATCTTTTCGTTCCAAATCGCCTGGTATTCGCCATATATCGTTTATATCTAACTGAAAGTCAATTTTCATGATTAATTTCATTGGGAATAACTAAGTATTGTTGAGAGCATACCACGCATTGTTCGGCAAATCCACCGAAGGAGCTCAAACTAAGGCCTAGTACTTTTTCCCCGTTAATAATTTGCTCGTTTTTTACATCTTTACCTCTTTCTATAACCTCTCCGGAGAGTTCATAACCTAAAAAAATATTAAACATTATCGGCAATTTAAAAAGTTTGGTATTTCACCTGGTATAAACGGTAAATTATCGGTAGAACTTTTAAATTTGTGGACATCTACGGAATTAACGCTACAATACACCACTCGTATCCTGACCTCAGTCGGCTTCAAACTAGCAGGCTTCTTTTCTTGTATTTCCAAAGGTTTGCCAGCTTCTCTTAGTACAGCAGCTTTGTAGGTACTCGCTAATTTAACATTTTTTGATAGGCTATTAACAGATCTTGATATAATTCGAGTAAAAAGTTTATTCATTGTTTTTTACTGCTTCGAACAACATAACCTCAATTCAAAAATCAAATGTCAAATGTCACAATTTTTTTAAACTCCCAGTAGCTGCAGAGAGAACAAATCACAGGCCACAAATAATAAAAACAATTAGTGGCAACGTCGCGGAACCGTTCCTGCAATTAGAATTAACGAAAATTCTTGACGTCTTTATTGACAAAAAAACATGTTTACAAAAGCCCTACGTTTTAATGTCAGGAATTTTAAATACTACGCGGCGTCTCCGAGACTTTTCGCCAGAGCGGCGCACACCGACTACAAAGTACCGGATTTCGACGAGGACCGAAAAGAGTCGTTGCAATGCCCCACGATGAGATCGAGCGACAGCGAGGATCGGAGAAGAGGCGCTGTGGGTCTCATAACGCTAATAGGAGGGGCTCTGGCCATGTACGGCACCAAAGCCGAGATCCACAGGTACCGGCGAAAACCGGCCTCGGCCTGTCGTTTACACCAGCTACTCGTAGATACGTGCTGTTTATGGGCGCCTCCGCCGACGTGCTGGCCCTGGCGAAGATCGAAGTGAATCTGTCGGAGATTCCCGAAGGTAAATCGGCGACGTTCAAATGGCGGGGGAAGCCCATATTCGTGAGACGCAGGTCCCCCGATCAAATCAGATCCTCCGAGAAGGTTCCGTTGTCAGAGCTTCGAGATCCGGCTACGGACGACGAAAGATGCCCTAATAAGAAGTTCTTAGTGATTATCGGTGATTTATTTTGGTATTGTTGGAATTGTTTGTAAGGTAAGTTGTTTTTAGGTATTTGTACTCACCTGGGATGCGTTCCCATCGCTGATGCGGGGGACTACGGTCCCGGGGGATACTATTGTCCCTGTCATGGTTCCCATTTCGACGCCTCGGGGCGAATCAGAAAAGGCCCGGCCAATACGAACATGGATATACCCGAACATACTTTCGTTGATGAAAATACGCTGGTTATAGGATGAATTTCGCGTGTACTTTACTCAATTTTTTTCCGAATAATCGAATTATTCGAGGCCATTTCAACTTTTTTGCGTTGTTTTATACTACTAGTCAGTAGAAGTTATTTAGCTAGTTTATTTATGGCCAAATAAATTATACACTAAAGGCCACTTGTTTGACATTGACATGTGTCATTACTGTCAATTGGAAAAATGTGACAATTTGCGAAGTGGGTCAATAAATATTTTTACCAATAAACGTTTCTCTAAAATATTTTAACGAATTGATCGTTTGGTATTTGTTGTGATGCGACATTCTGCCATGTGATTTCTATCGCATAACTTCGAATTAAACAATATCGCTAGCAATCGTTCAACCTTCAGGACGGAGAAAGGGTAAAGTAGTAACATTGGTAGTTATTTTTAGTGTTGTTTGATTCGACTGGTGTGTGGTGTGTATTTCAATCATTCTTTCGTAGTATTTACAATACAATACGCAATGGCGAAAGAGGAGGAATACGATAAGTTACCGGACAAAGACGCTGCCAAAGAATTCTACGCCAAGTACGAACCCAAAGAAATTTTAGGAAGGTAACTTTTATACACGATTTACTCTAACCTAGCGAATTCAAACCGATGTTAATTCCAGGGGTATATCCTCCACAGTACGAAGGTGCATCGAGAAAGAAACCGGCAAAGAGTACGCAGCCAAAATTATAGATTTAAGTTCGAGCGATGGTTTGCACGACATGTCTACGTTAGAGGCCACGAAACAAGAAGTAAACATCTTGCGACACGTAGCCGGACATCCATACATAAGTAAATATTCCAAATACAAAACCTTCGATAACAATTAATCAAATTATCCTTAGTCGAATTGCAAGACGTCTTCCAATCTTCCACTTTCATCTTCCTGGTGTTCGAATTGTGCAAGAACGGCGAGCTGTTTGACTATCTGACTTCCGTGGTGGCCTTGTCCGAGAAGAAAACCCGCTACATTATGAAGCAGATATTAGAAGGGGTCCAACACGTTCATTCTATGAGAATCGTCCATCGTGATTTGAAGCCGGAGAATATACTGTTGGACGATAATTTGAACGTGAAAATTACCGATTTCGGTTTTGCCAAAGTGCTGGAAAACGGGGAAACTCTACAAGGTGATTTAAATATATATTTAATGTAATGAAGCAATGGTGGCAATTATTGTTGTTTTAGATTTGTGTGGAACTCCTGGTTATTTAGCGCCCGAAACGTTGAGTTGTAATATGATGGAAGATTCTCCGGGATATTCGTTTGAAGTGGATATGTAGGTAGTCGGACATTTTGAATGGTTTTAGATGCATCGATTAATGTGAATTTTATGTTTTTAGATGGGCCTGTGGGGTTATTATGTATACACTGTAAGTTGTCTCGATCGTTTCTATAATACGATAATAATTTTGGTTTTTATTTTATTTAGATTGGTCGGTTGTCCACCTTTTTGGCATAGAAAGCAAATGGTGATGTTGAGGAACATAATGGAAGGGAAATATACGTTTTCGTCGCCCGAATGGGCCGACATATCGGGTTAGTTTGTTTGTAGGATTAACTTTAATTCAGATTGTATTACATTAGTTTCTTGATAATTCCAGAGGCTCCCAAAGATTTGATTAGAAAGTTGTTGGTGGTGGATCCTAAGAAAAGGATCGGCATCAAAGAGGCCTTGGCTCATCCGTTTTTCCATACTGTCGTACGTATTTTGATGGCTTTTATCGTTAGATTTTTTTGCTAAATTTACACTTTTTTTTTCTCTCTCTCCTACATTGCAACATCGCAATATTTCAGCTGTGGGATCAGGATATAACGCCTTTGAAACGTTCTTTAAGAATGAATAGCAGACGATTTAGTCGTATTTCAGACATGGCACTGGTAAAAAAAGCATTAATTTTTTTGAAATTTTTTTTGGGGAACCGCTTTTTTGTGTTCCGGAAATTACAATCGATAATTATTGAATATCGTTATCGATTTTAATCTAACACAATCTAATTCGCTTGGGTTACCCTTACCTTATAATCACTAAACACCCTATACAAAGCTAATCTAAAAACAATTAACACACACGATATAATGGTTTTGATGTATCGTTAATTTAAATATTTCTTTTGTAGAAACTGCAACAGACGAAATTCAACCCTAAGCGAAAATTCCAATGGGCCATGTTAGTGGTGAGATCGATGGTGAGGATACAAAGGCTTCGATTTACCCCCGAAGCCTTGAGCTTAGACATTGCTAGGAACGATCCCTATCGCCTTAAAATATTAAGAAAGGTAATAAAGTGGAATAATAATAATACTTGTGTAGATAGTTTTAAAGTTGTGTTTGTTTTGTAGGTTGTCGATGGCTGTGCCTTCCGAGTTTACGGGCATTGGGTGAAAAAGGGCGAAGGGCAAAATCGCGCGGCTCTCTTCGAAAATACGCCCAAAACGGAATTGAAACATATATACGTGACGAATCTTAGCCGATAGTTAATTTAGATAATTTGATAAGAATGAATACTTCCATTTGAGATATTTTATTTGATCATTTTTTGTTGTTATTTTGTACAAGTGGAAGTAAATGTTAGTAAAAATATCAACTGTGTAATCGCACTTGTAAGATGTGATATTTATTTGTAAAGATTTCGGCATTTTTTTACAACGATTGTTGTAAATGGAAAATGTCGAGGTGATCCTTAATTGACGATATTTTCTTCATGCACGTTATGTACTCGTACATTCAATTTACGTAGATTTTTCTTGCCACTTTAGTTAATTTTATTTATAATATTTCATACGAATATTTATACGGCATTGCAGTTTGTTGCAATATGGCTTTGTAATAAAATCGAACTGAATTAACACTTATATTTTCAATATAAATTCTAACAAAAAAAAAATGGTAACAACAGCGCGTTCGATCTGTTCCGTTTCTTCTGGTTTTTAAATAAATCTATTATCGAATTTTACGCATTTTTTTTCTCCGCAAATTTACCTTCTACCCCGTCGAAAACCGATTCCCGATCGGTCTAAGCGTCCGATAGAGCGGCAACACCCGGTAGAACTTTACCTTCTAACAACTCGAGACTGGCCCCGCCGCCTGTAGACACGTGAGACACCTTATCTTCGGTTTTCCAAGTAGCAGCGCAAGTCGCCGTATCTCCACCGCCTGGAAAACACCCCGATTACACCTCTTTTTACCAATTTCCGAAACCGGCCTCTTACCGATTATAGTTACAGCTCCTTTCGCCGTGGCTTTAACGACCTCGTCCATGATGCTTTTGGTACCGTTGCAGAATTTCTCCCACTCGAACACCCCCGACGGTCTTTAATGAATAAACGTTATTAGAAACGAACGAATGTTGGTTATTCGCCAAGTTTTACCCGTTCCAAACGACGATTTTGGCGCGAGCTATCGGATCTTTGAAAGCTTCCACGGTTTTCGGTCCGATATCCAGCCCCATCCAGCCCTCCGGAATGCCTTCATCTGCAGTAACTGAGCGCGTCTGGAAAATACCACAAAACGTGGCTGAATAGCGGCGACAATCGAGGCCGAGAAGTTTTTAAAAGTGTCTATTCGACCGTACATTCGGGGAGTGTATATAGAACGACTTACGTTGGCGTTTTCGTCGAATTTATCGGCGATGACGAAATCGACCGGCAGGTGGATTTGTACGTTGTTTTTCCGCGCCTTTTCCATCAGTTTCCCGACGATCCGGGCGCCTTCTTGATCGTACAGCGACGTCCCGATCTGAATAAAATAAAATAATTAAAAGAATAAAAATCGAACCGCCTTTGCTCGCCGAACAAAAAAAATAAAAAAAGAAACAACGACCGACGTAAATATGTCCGCTGTAACTGTCACAGTGTAAAGACAAATGTTTGAATGTGATTCGAAAATTATTCCAGAGACAAATTCAGCAGTAATTATTCCCAATTCGAGACGAGAAATTCCAAAACGAAACGATGGTCGGTCGATTGATTTGAACAGGAAAATTCATAGGTAATAAAAAAAGGTATGTATGTACATACAGGAAAAAAACTAAAAATTTAAAAAAAACCACAAACCGATCAACTATAGTTAATCAATCGCGCGGTAAACATGGAGCGTTCATCTCCCAGAAACCGGTGCCATTTCCAGCGGAAATCCCCCGAACCGGTCCAGACCCGATCGAAATCGTCCGTCAACTCCCACAGCAGCGCATACACGTAACAATTTCCCCCAAATAATTCCTTTAACCCCCAACAATTCACACGATCTCCGCAGCGGCTTCAGACGAACGGCCAACGACAACCTGATGAGGCTCAACTCGAACATCAGCGAAATGCTGTCGGAGAGCTTCAGGGGCATCGATTCCATCTGCACCAAAGTCAGGGAGTGCATCACGGACTTCAACGCCGCCGACGCCCTACAGTAGATCTCTCCATTTTTTCCCCATTTCGATTTTTTTTCGCCACGTTGTACGCCGGTTTCAGGGCGACCGTTTACAACGAAAGCTTCGCCGACGAGCCGTCGACGGAGCAGGCGCTGCGCAAGCAGCAGGAGGACCGACTCAAGTACGAGGAGCTGAAGGAGCGGTACCGGAGGTACCGCGCCCAACGGCGCCCCGACGGCGATCCCTTCGATTTCGCGAGGAAAAGCGACGCCGGTAACGAGCGCGGGTTCTCGTTCGGAGACGCTCCAGCTGTGGAAACCGTCCCGCAGGAAACCCGGCGAGTCGAGGAAGTCCCGGTCAAATGCGATCCGGAGGCGTCCAACGACGGTAAAAATCATTCTAAACGCGCTAAGATCTACATTTACATCTTTAATCGTCTAGTCAAGGAGAATTATCGGGAGGATTCGGTAGAAGAAATCCTGGCGCTCGACGATTTGCCGGAGTTACCGGATGTGTTGGTCGGGGAAAAACCGGACGAGGAAGCCGCCGCGGAAAAACCGAGGAAATCGAAAGGAAAAAGCGCCAAGAAGCGCGTGCGCAGGAGATCGTTGGAGGAATACGCGCAGGCGGTTAAAAAAGAGGTATAAAAAAATTGATTGTGCGTTACAAATACGCAGTTTTCGCATTTAATAGGCGCAATTCGAGGATTTTAATTCGCTCAAAGCGGTGATACAAGATCTGACAGAGAGAATCGATTTGTTGAGCAACGAAACGTTGCCCGTTAAGTGCGAGGAAAAGCCGGAAAATCGATTCGAAACGACCCTGACGGAACAGCGACTGAACGGTAAAAGGCCTATTATTCAAAAGATTGCCCAGTTTATAACAAATCCTGTATTAAATCGCCAGATGCTCGAGAAGAAGCGGCAGACGAAGAAGAAGACGATGAGGACGAAGAAGAAGAAGAGAAAAAAAGCGCCAACGATCCGGTGGTGTCGCTGATGAAAAACATCAGTAGACTTTTGGGAGCCAGCCTGGCCAATGCCTTGGATTCCAAAACTTCCCTACCCAACGAATTTGCCAGGTTTGCCAACCTAATTATTAAGCCTAAAAAAACCGATATTAATTCCCCGTTTATTCCAGGCTGGAAGCGCCGGATCCCGACCAGGAGGATCTCCTGTTGGAAGACGAAACGCAAAAGAAATTCCTCTATCTCGAGCAATTGCTGGCCAAGCGCAAAATGGACAACATCAAAACCAAAAACTTGCTAAACGTGCGTAATTTCAAAGTCGATAATCCTGTAGTTGTGATGATAAAAATTTCCAGGACGCATCCGATCGGGAAGTACCGGAAAGCTCCTACAGAAGCTCGAATTTACGCAGCAGGTACTCCAACAGTTTGTACTTCAACGAAAAGACCATGTTCAAAACGTCTTCGAAAGACAATTTGAACGCCCATCGAAAATCGAAGAAAATCAACTCGGTATTGACCGTTTTGAACTACTCCAACGGCTCCATCGAAAAATTGAACGTCTCAGGTAATCCCCGGAAGCTTCGAAATTCTATGTAATTACATCGGATTTGCGCAGAAACGAAAACGAAACCGTCCAAGTACAAGAAACTGACCGAAAACAGGAAACCGAAGAACCGCAATTTGGAATACTACAAGCACAAATTGGACAAATTCGGCGGCGCCAATTGGAAACAGAACTTGTACAAATCGGGCGCCATCGACAACGCCGGCAAATCGTGTTCGGACGAATTCGGCTTCGAACGCGAGGCGAGCCTCGTCAGTTTCCCCAACACCGAATCGAGCAAGAGCGAGACCAGCGTGGATTTCAATCGGAAATCGACCAAATCGGGCCCCAAACGGGCCTACGGCGACGCCAAAACGGCGCACAGCGATTACGAGGACGACATTCGGAGCGACGAAAGCGAAATATCCGCCGATCGAGGTAAACGAACATTCCCGAATACGATCTTGTCACTTTTCAAAATGACATTTACCCTCCTGTCACAAATGTCATTACGATTAAGTTCTAATTAGATAAAGATGGTTGTTTAATGACGTGGGATGAAGGGAGATGTAATTACAAAAAAACGCGCATTTATGACATGAATGTTTATGACATATTAGCTACAGGACCGTATTATTTTAGTGCCGGTTTTTGGTGTTGCGAATAGCGAAAACAAATCGAAGGGCAAAGGGAATTGGATCAAATCTAAAGACGTGCAAATGCCCTTTACTCACTGGAATCACCTGGATATTTTGGACGATTTAACGCACAAGTACACACCTTATTTTTTCGAATTTATACAGTAAAATATCGCGCGATTTTTTTGTTGAAAGGGATTTGTTGCCTTTGTGCTCGGAGTATCCGAGGAAAGACGTGTCGCTAGAGGAGAAATCGCAGGAGCCCAACAAAGACATTCAGAACACTTATCTCTGGAAAATGGTGTACGAGCAAGAAGAAAACGACAACGTCTGGAACAAACTAATCCAACCCACCGTGGAGGGTGGCAAAAATAAATCCAACACCGGCGAACATCCACAGGATTCACCGGATAACAAAACCTTCAAAAAAGTTGGTTCAAATTGCGAATTATCTTCCACAAATTCTACACACTCTTGTATTATTCTCAGCAAAAATCCAAGAGGAGAACCATCGAAAAACTCGCTCCCTACATGTTCGATCCCAAGGAGGAATCGTCGCGCGCCAATCAATCGCTAATTGTGATGCCCATCACCGTCCAATACAGCAATCCCCCGCAAATTGTCAAGCACAACGTGAACGAGGAGCCCGACGTGTTGCCCAGCGTCGTGGGCACCTCTAGGCGCATCAAAACCTCCAGATTGGAGCAACAACAGGCCGCCAGGGAGGCTCTATCGGACAGAGAATGGAGCAAACAAAGGAAAACCAAAAAGAAAAACAATGGAAACACGTCGAGTCCCAGAACGAACGATATTTTGAGGGAAGGAGGTAAGAGGAGTAGAATAGGGTAATGTAGAACAAGAGTAGTGCAGAACTAAGAAGATAGAGGCAGAGTAGAGGAAAGCAAAGTAGAGCAAAGAAGTGTAGAACAGAGTACTTTTGTGACATAGTGGATAAAGCGATTTGATTTCAGCGAATTTATTGGCGAGTTCGAACGACGAATGCGCGGAGTACAGGGAGAAATTGACGCCCCAACAGACCGCCTACAAGAAGGCCATCATGCGAAATTTGGTCAAGTTGAAGGAATTGAAGTTGAAGGAGAAGCGCGAAGAGCGCAAAATGGCCGGTAAAATGTCTGCGCACCAACCGAAAATCAACCCCGCTTGCGTGCCCCATTACACGCAACCCACCATCCAGAGCCAGAATTACTTCCAACGGCCGATCGTCCAGAATCCGGAGAAGGAGCGGCACAGGTGAAACCGATTTGTTCGCCATCGAATCGATTAAATCGAATGGTTTTTTTTCAGCGCTAGAAGAAAATCGTTCGGCGACAGCAAGAGCGACTACGAGAGGAAAATGTTGTCGTTTAAATACTCGAAGAGCGTCGGAGAGAAACTGGTGTCGTTCGTCAACAACCAATCGCCTCGACGGGATTTGGATACACGCCACAACACGGTCCCAACCAACGGTAAATTTACCCATTTACACGCTCGTTTTCCTAACGCAACACCTCGACAGATTCCCCTCGAAGCCCACCCGACTTGGACCCCAAAGACATGGTGATGCAGCTGCAGAACCTGAAGAAGGAGGACGGCTGCGTGTTGAGCAGCATCCAGAAGGCCGTGGACGTCATCGAGAACAAGATGATCGACCTGTTGGACGCGCCCAGCGATTTGAATTTCGACGCCTTCGACGTGATGGAGAGCGAAATCAAACAGGTCTTGGACATCATGAAGGTCGACGCCAGGAATCCCGAACGTTTGGGTAACTTTTACCGGCAATTTACCGACCGAATTTAGCGCTAATTGCGATATTGCGTTAGACGGCGAGTTGAAGCTGGAGGAGAACTTGCAGAAAATGTCTATGCAATTGTTCAGCAAGTTGGAGAGTCTGTTGGATTCGGGTTCCGAATACAAAGAAGTCACTTCTGGTAGTGAAGTTGTAGAGGAAGCTATACAGCTCGAAAGGTGTGCGAAATACCATTCGAAATGCGTTAAAAATGTATATTTTTGCATAATTTCAGACCGTCATCGATGACTACTTTAGTGTCCGAAACGAAGCACCGCGATTCCCGCCAACCCAAACGAATCTCCCGCGTCCGATCCGACGCGAAAACCGCCCCGATCGCCGCGCCCTGCGACGTGGAAACCGCCAAAATGGGCGAGGAAATCGCCACCAACGAGCACATCTTCGACCGACGGGAAGACGTCGACGCCGACGCGGGCGATTTCGAACGCTTCGAACGACATTCGAACGCCTTCGATACACCGAAAGAGGAGGAACTCGGCGAAGAGGAGGCGTTTTGGGACACGGCCGAGCAACTGCAACGTTTAAACGACATCCTGCAGGACACCGATGAGCCCGAATTCGCCCCGTTGCAACGCCAATGCGCCACCACCAATTTGGACACGGTCCGGCGTCCGGATCCGCTGGTGCCCGACGATCTCACCGATTCGATTATGAACCTCAGAGACGGGCGATCGAAGAAAACCGAAGAGGATGATGATGATGAAGAGGATAAGGAGGATTTGGGCAGCGACGTGGAATCGATCGATTCCGACGATTTTCTCACACCGTCGCACACGGAATTCAACTACGTGTGTCGCGATGACGAGTTTCTGACGCCTCCCGAAGAAGCCGCCGCCCATTCGATCGATGTTCCTTCCATAGAGACACCAGCAGAAGACGAAAACGATGTAGATGAAGACGAAGAGGAGGATTTGTCGACGGTAAACGAAGCCAGTCGAGGTTCCGATGGCAGTTCGAGCAATTTCAGCGATCAAGTCAACGATATGATCAAAACCGTTGAAGATATTTACACTAGACTCGATCGCATTCAAAAACATGTCAGTATTTTTACAATACTCTGAGAATACGATGGTATTTTTGTTACAAAATTACAGAAAAACCAGTGCGACGAGACTCCCGAAGGCGGCCGAATGCAATTAGTGAAACCATATCAAACCGCGGTGGTGGCTCTAGAACCGGCGCCGGCATCGTACGAAAACGTGCTAAATTTTTTAGAATCGCTGAGCGACGGCGCTGCGACCGGAGAGGTACATTCGGCTCGGTTTGTAACGCGCCTACGTTATCTAACTAAGCCTAGTTGCCTGCGAACGAACGCCAACGGCGAGCCTAAGAAAAAGGTCTCTTTTTTAGTGACGCAGCGGCCCCGCGCAGCCCTCCAGCCGCCTTCGATACGCCGATCGTGGGGCGGACGATCGCCCGCGATCGGCGCATTGAAGGCGTCGCCGTCGCTGCACAATATCCTGCGATTCTTGGACGCTTTGATCGAAATCGGGGCCGAAGAGGAGACGACGCCGACGCGCCGGAGCGCCGCCAACGACCTAAAGATCGTCGAATTGGACGGGAACGACGGAACGGTTGACGAGATTGGGTTGTCGGAAGATTTGGGCGGTTCGCCGGCGGTTTTGTCGGAGACGTTCGAGGGTTTGGGTACATCGGACGGTTCTTTCGGTTGTCTCGGAACGCCGGTCGTTTGCGAGAGAATCTCACCCGTTGGGGGCCTGGTGACGACCGCGGGGTTTCTGGCGCGTTGCAAAAGCAAAGTCGTGGTGTTGAAATCGCTCTACGCCTTCGTCTACCTATTGGTTTTTACGGCGTTAAATATGGGATATAAGTGCTACTGAATCGGGCTGGTTTTTTTTTCTCATTGTTTTTTTTTATCTCTCTGTATAACATTAAGAGGTCATTTTTTTTCCTAAAAACGGTTTAAACGTATCATATTGTATGTGGTGTCAGTATTTGTTGAAAATAAAGCTTTTTTTTATCGAATTTCTACGTTAATTCGTTACTTACGGACATGCCTTTGGTCTCTTTGAGGAAGGTATAAGCCATTCCACCGCCGATGAGCATCTCGTTGACTTTGTCGAGTAAATTCTCGATGAGTTGGATCTTATCGGCTACTTTTGCACCTCCCAATATAGCCAAGAAAGGCCTACAAACAACATATTATCACTAATTAGTATAAACAAGATGGAGGTAATACCTTTCCGGATTGTCCAAAGCTTTGGCGAAATATTGCAGTTCCTTTTTCATCAAGAATCCAGATGCCCTTTGCTCGAAACCCTCGCCCAACATGGAGGAATGCGCCCTGTGGGCCGTACCGAAGGCGTCGTTGACGTAGACGTCGCCCAGTTTACGCAATCCGGCCCTGAACTCTTTCACTTTGGCCGGATCGGCTTTGGCCTTGTTCCCGCTGGAGTCCACTCCCTTGCCTTCGAATAATTGGATATTTAATGGGCTTGAAATGGCGCTTAATTAAGTGAATTAAATACCTTCTTCTTCGATGTGGTACCGAAGGTTCTCGAGCAGAATAACCGAGCCCGGTTGGGGATCCGCGCAGGCTTTTTCTACTTCGGGGCCCACGCAATCGGGCAGGAACGTAACAGACCTTATACATAATAATTCATTATAAAATTCGTGTTCGTAAAGAAAGAAATTTCGAATTGACAGTTCGAAATGTCATGTCAATGAGTCAAAGGTGATGTGATTGTTGAATATAAAGCGAATTTCGAATCGATTTACCTTTTCAAAAGATTCTCCAGCTCGCCTACGACCGGTTTAAGGGTGTATTTGGGATTGGGACTTCCATCGGGTCGACCCAAGTGCGACATGAGCACGACACTCTTCGCCTTCTTATCCAAAGCGTACCGGACGGAATCCAAGGCGGCCACGATTCTTTGGTTGTTGGTGATTTTCCCGTCTTTAAGAGGAACGTTGAAATCGACCCTACGAACAGAACCATAACCTCACTTATCTCTTACGAAACGATTATTTTTTATATTTTAAAAGGATTTCGCATTTACCTCATCAGGACCCTTTTGTTGGCCAACTCCAGGGCGTCGATAGATAATTTGTTTAGCGCCATACTCGTCGAAAAAAGCCTACTCTTAACTGCCGAATGCACCGCTCGCTTAGATATCAATCTGAGAACTGTCAATGTCATGGATGTCATGTGAAGGTCGAAGTAGGCAAGGGTTGGTATGAATTTGGAAAAAAAAATTGATTTTTGGTATACTGGCGAATAACACACGACGCAACGTAAACAAGTTATAATTAACGATTAAGATACGATTAATTGCTTTCCTTGTTGTTCTCGTTTTTATTGATAAAAGGTCATGTTTAATAACAAATATAGATACAATAATAAATTTGTAGCCACACGTTGATCGAGTGATTGAAAACTTGAATACAATTAATAGTATGTGAAAGTAATGGTTGTTTTATATCTTCGATAATATGGAATTAATTCATTATTGTTTTAAAACGAACTTATTCCGTCCATCTATGTGCACAATGTGGATTTGTACAAACGTAATACAGTCTCATTTCTTCTTCGGCTCGCCTCGTTTGTGCTTGGAAAAATACGGCTTCCCTAAAACAATAAATTATTCAAACGAATTAGTATTAATCTACTATGGTTGTATGTACCTATGGTTGCATTCTGGACACTGATGGTCTTCGGTCCTAGGCAGCGTTGGATCTGATATAACATCTGCTACTATGTGAGTAAGCTCGCTAAAATAAATAATCAACATTGGTAAAGTTATACGTAAAGTTTTCTTAAACGTACTCGATTTCGTGCATGATTTTGTTGACGTAAATGCATTTGGAATCGGCGTGTTGTTTGTAATCGCAATTTCGGCAGGCGTAGAGCAGGATTTTGTTTTCCTTGTCTTCTTTGGGATACAACATGTTATTGCTGAAAAAAATCGCAGGAATTAAACGAAAGTTTCTCGGGTTGAAAGATGGGTAAATCTTACCATTCTTGGCAAAATCTGATGCCCACGAAACCCGGTCCTTCGCTGTGCGAATCGTAACCCGATGGTTTCGACATTTTTCGTGGAAAATTAGAAAAATAAAGCTATAAAAACTGAACAAGGAGAATCAAAACATTACTAGGTTAACTTTTGTTTATTCATCTGTCAAAAGTGTCAAAATCAATTTCTTCTTCTATTTTTATAGATGGCTTTTGTCTACAAGCTTTCCAGTTTTAATAAAAAAAGAAGAATGACATTTTGACATCGACGTTTTATTGTTTATGTTTATCAATTAGAATTAAGTAAAAAAACTGTTTTTTAAGTAAACAAATTAATAATTTATCCTGAAAATGTCGGGCGTTTGCTTGATTTGCCTGCAGCCCAAACCGGAACTGATAAATATCGACAAAAACATAAACGACAACGACTCCCTGTTGACGAAATTAATGGATTGTATTCCAGAATTGGTGCGATTTTCCAAACTCTTTATTGAAAACTTAATATAGATCACCTATGATTTGTAGGACTGGAGTAAACCGTTCGAGCTGTGCTACGCTTGCTCCCAGCAAGTCAACGAAATCCATTCGTTTAGACTACTGTGCATCAGCTCGTACAAATCGTACTGGCTTTTACGGAGCACCCAATGTCTGATAAAAGACGAGAAACCCTCAGATTTGGAATTGAAAATCGAATTAGACAATAACGACTACGCCGATAACTTAGCATCAGACGATGGCGATTCCAATAACGAGGCGAAAAGCAAAACCAAAAAAGTTTCTTGTAAAATATGCGGAAAATCCTACGCTTCGAAGTACGTGTTAAAGAAACACACGAAGATTTGTTTGTTAAAGCACGACGGTACGATTGTTCGTATAATGTTATTGTTAATTTAATTAGCAACGAATCGGTTACAGACGGCAACAAAAATAGCGAAGCACCTTCGATCGAAGACTTCAACATCCCACCGTCCTGCTTAGAATGCGGAATGACCTTCAAAAACAAGTACTTGCAAAAGCGCCACCTGGACAACGTGCACATAAAAGAAAAGAAATTCATCTGCGAAATATGCAACAGAGGATTCGCTTCTTCGGTCTATCTCAACGCCCACAAACGGTTATACAACCAAAATTATATAAACAAATAACCGAACCTTTCATCGTATTGTAGGTACCATTCAGGCGAAAGGCCCCACGTTTGCTCATTCTGCGGTAAAGGCTACATAACGGCCAGCGATCTCTATCACCACGAGAAAATCCACGCGAACAAAAGGAGCTACCGATGCGAGATATGCCCCAAGGCCTTCAACACCTCCTCCGATCTCTACAAGCACAAAATCTGCGTCCACATGGACCGATCCCTGTGGAAATACGCCTGCGACGTCTGCGACAGGAAATTCCCATTGAAAATCAACATGGAGAGCCACAGGAAGACGCACACGGGCGAGCGGAACTTCCCCTGTCATCTCTGCGATCGAAAGTGCATCAACATGTCGGTGTTGAAGAGGCACATACAGACCCACTCGCACCTGTTCTTCTACAAATGCGACGTCTGCGAGCAACCGTACAAGTACCAAAAGTCGCTGGATATCCACAAAGCCAAAGCCCACGGTATCGGTACTATCAAGATACGGCCGACCGTCAAGAAATTCGCCTGTCCGTTGTGCTCCAAAGCGTATTCGGCCAATAATAAGCTGCAGAAACACCTGAGGGCGCACGTGGGGGACAAGCCCTTCAAGTGCCCCGAATGCCAAAAAGGATTCACCGATAAATCTTACGTGAAGCAACATTTGAAAACCGCTCACAATATACCCGGCGAAGACGCGTAAAATCGTATTCGTTTGCATTTAGATTTGTGTATTTTATATGTGTTTTATAACGTGTTTGAATAAAATGTGATTTTTGTTAAATTAATTGTAATGGTGGTTGCATATTCATAAAAATAACTCAGAATTGTTTTGACAATTGACAGATATAGTAAGCTGGCCGGATGCGACATAACGCCAGAGACCATGCTATGGTACAGAAGAAGAATCGATCAATAAACAATAAAAGTAAACTTTACACTACAAATTTGTTAAATCTCTCTTTACTTTTTATAAATAACAATTAACTATACAAACTTAAGACGCTAGTTGTTCTTCGAAAGACGATTTCCTCTGCACGATGGGCAGATGTTTCTGTCGAATGAGGTAATTCTCGTTGCCGTGAACAGTGTACAATCGCTCCCCTTCTTTGCCCAACAAGCTCCGAAGGGCTTTGTTCCTTTGCAGGATTTTCTCGTAGAATTCCTTGCCCCCTTCGACGAAGGCCTGATCGGTTTGTCTCAGCTCTTTGTCGATCTTGCCTTCGTAGTAAATCTGCGAAGCGTCCGAGCCCATGGCGTGTATTCCGCCGCAGAAGGCTCCGACGAGCAGATACATTAGCATTCTGGTAGATCTCGGTTGAGCGTAGAAATTGAACCTTTCGTTGATTTGCCTGCTCACGGCGTAAATTAGAAAAACCGTTTGGAAACTCAGGGCTGCGTTTAACAACGGTTTGAGGGTTTGCCTGTGTTTTATTTCTCTGGCCATTGCGTACAATTGCGCGTTTTCGGATAATACGAGTGAATCTAGGAGCTTCTGGGCGGGTTCGGAATCCCATATAATGGACTCTTCTCTTATCTACAAAATTACCCCATTAATTACCATTTACCCTAAATACTGTTGGTTATACTTTTAGTTTTGAAGTATTGATCGTTCTGGTGTCTTCGTATGTAAAATTAATGGGTAAACCGATAAAACTGCCGAATTTGCTAAACGAACTACCGATGCTGAAAACATCGAATCCGAAAACGTGAATTGGTTGATACAACTGTTGAGCTTTAGGATCGATCTGAAATAATTCGATCCGTTAAAATATAAATTTAGAATTAAATTGCATTCTATTTACCTGTAGTATGTCTAAAACTTTTTGGAACCGTTGTTTCAATTTTTCGGAAACTTCCACCGGGAAACCGTTTCTTAAAATAAATACATACTTCTACAATACTATAATAAAACGTATATTAAATAGCTTACTGGTATAATTGAACTATTTCTTTATATTTGTGTAATAATAAAGTTTGTGGTAAAAAGTGAGCGAAGACTGTTGATGTTGTTAATCCACCGGCTAGGTAATAGCACGCTTTTTTACCGTTATCGGAAACCAGCCATTTAGATAATCGTTGAAGAGACATTTCGAAATAGAAATAACGATTAGAAACTTTCGAAATTTCAATTCTTCACAGCCCTAAAAATTAAAAATATTCATAACCTAATTCTTCTTCTTTTTTAGATCTCTCCTGTAAAAGATTCCAGTTCAACCTGTCAATTTATTTGAACTACTCATATGTCATACGATATAGAAAGAAGAAATTAACCTAAGTTTATATTGACATTTGTTTGTCAAATATTTTTGGTGATTATAATATTACGGAAAACGCAAATTTCGAATATTTATAGATACTACATTTAATTCTTCGAAAATATTTTCTTACGTGCATGTATTTGAAAACACTATAAGCTTTATTCAGAACAATGGCCGCGGCAACGGACGAATTAAGTAAGTGTATTCGTGGAGATTTTTTGTATTGTCATCCTATTTAATATTCCGCGGTGAATTAAGCGTTTTGATACTCGAAATTTAAATTTCCAGTGCTCCTCGAGCGAGTGTTTCTCCGTTTGGGCTCCGCCGAGACGGACGAACAACTGCAAAATATCCTTTGCAAATTCCTACCGCCCGTATTACTAAAATTATCTTCCCAACAAGAAGGCGTCCGGAAGAAGGTACGATAGAATATTCTTACAATAAATATACTAAATTACGCTAATTATCCAGGTTATGGAATTGTTGATTCACGTAAACAAACGCATTAAAACCAGACCTCTAGTTCAGCTACCGATCGAGGCCTTGTTGACCCAATATCAAGATCCCGCAGCCACTTCATTCGTAACCGTACGAACTTCGTATAATTTTTAATCGCAACCCATTCACTATTTCCTTTCTAGAACTTCACTATAATTTATTTAAAATCCGGATTTCCTCGGCTGCCAGTCGACAAACAGGCCGAGCTGGTTCCCATCGTACTCAACGCATTGGAGAACAAACCGCAATCTCACGTAGACAGTTTACTCGTACTGATCATCCCCGTATTGGGTAAAGTAAAGGTCCCCACGGACCCGGAGAGGATCCGCCATTTGTTCGGTTTGAACGAGAAGCCTTTGATCAAAAAAAACCTGCTGGAGATTCTACTCGATATGATACTGTTGCCCTATAGGTGAGATCTACTGTTAACAATGATTTAGGTGATTTATTTTTATATTTTAGCGCGTTGTCGCCGCAAAACGATAACGATAGTCAATCTAGTAATGTATCTCTACCGGTTCCTCCTGGTTTAAGCGAAGCCTCGTACAAGAGGGTGTCTAATAATAATCCTATGAAACCCGAGGAACTCGAAGAAGTAATATCGATTGATTTGTAGTTTAAATTATGATTATTTTATGAAATTTTAGATCAAATTGGGTATTGTTAAGTTCTTATCGCACGGTGTGTTCACCAACGAAGAAATCTTGCCTCATCTAGTTATAGCCGTATCGGATACCAGATTCGGAGTGGCCAATTTGGCGGATACGGAACTGAAAAAAATTATCGGGTAACACGCCGATTTATCGCAAATTCAATCCTTATTGAGTACATAAATCGTATTTTAGCGCCGTCGATTGGTCATCTCCGCAAACGGCTCTACCGTTGTACAATTTGTACCTGGGAAGTCCCGGCAAAACGGCGAAACCCGATCAGAAAAAGGCCCCGGCGAATACGAGGATTCGCCTGAAATTGCTCTCGTCTTTATGCAGAGTCACCGGAACGGGATTCGCGTTCCCGCAATGCATACAGATCGTTTTCGATTCCTTGTACGGAACGAACACCAACACCAAATTGAAGACTCTAGCTCTCAATTTCGTTAGAAACATCATCAACACGTAAATATACCCAACTATAATCGATTTATTCGGTTTATAAACGAATGTTTTAGAGCCTCCGAGAACCCGTTGAGCAAAGTGGCCCCGGTCCTCCTATCCGGCTTGCAGAAGCTCATCAAAGAAGGCGAGGAGTCCCTTCACGGGCAGACTTACACAACCATCGGTATGTTAGCCCAACGATTTCCTAAAATCGTCTACCACGATGTGGCTTTGCTGGAAACTTACTTTACGAATATGGAAACGGCCAATCCGGAGCTCCGATTGCAAATCAGAGAGGGCGTGTTGAATTTAATCGTGGCTTATAAATACGATAATATACCGGAGGAATGCGACAAAGATGGTAGATTGAACATTTTATTCTTGTTGATAAAATGTAAAATTTTATCGGATGAACCGATGGTGAGGTTCGCTGCTGTGAGGACATTGGCTACGATATTTCCACCTAATCACGTATCGTCTAAGTACCTTCTTTTAGTAGCAACTGGTGATAAGTAAGTTGTTTAATATTTGATGAAAATCTGGTTAAAAACTATATTTCACATCGTACTTCTCTCCATTTTAGTAAAGAGGAGGTTTCTACTGAAGCGTTTAAATCGTTGTACGGAACCAACAGGAAATTCGATGTGGATTTATCTAAAGAGAAAATATCGATGCCTTCGTTCGAAGAAATCATCCATTACGTATCGACCGAAGCCGAAGCGACTTTGAAGGCTAAAAATAAATGTTTTGCAGTGGGGAATCATCTACTACCGTTTAACGTTAATACTTACAAAGAGGTAAAGTATAAACGATTCGATTAGTTATTATTCTTAATACAATTATTTTGCAGATATTGATATATTTAAGGCTGTGCCTAGTGAAGGATTTAGACGTGCCTCTTAGTAGGGAAATTTTGAAACATCCCTGCGAATATACGCCGATTATCGCTGCTCATCTTCGAGAAAAAATCAAACAAAGTAGTGTGAAATTAGAACAACAACCTCTAATTCGATACGCCAATTTGATAAGAGACTTAATGATAGCCAATCCAGGTGGATTATAACGAATAGTATAATAAATACCTGTATTAATCGCGTGAATTTCAGCACCCGAACCGTTATGTTGTATGATAGAACTAATCGGTTGCTTGCCTATAGTACACGAACACATCCTCAAAAACCTCCAATGGATAAAGGATCAATTATCGAACACCAAAGAGGAAATACGAGAATTAACGTCGCTACTTTACGCGTTGCTTCTCACGTTTTCGGCGAAAGATGCCGATTTTACAATCGCCCTAAAAAATCTAATAACTCAAACGAATGCCAAGAACTTAGAGGCTCAACACGGAGCTTTACTCGCCATCGGTAGATGTCTAGAGATCAAAACCGAACAGTGCAAAAAGGAAACTTACGCGAATGGCGTGGAACTCGTCAAATCTAGCATCGAAAGTTTAGGTGCACTAACAACTACATTAATCGTTAATTATATTACTAATAGGCTTATTTGTAGTTCAAAATTTGAAGCACCAGAGCCCTCTGTTGGTGAGCGCCGCTTGTACCAGCATCGGTTTGCTAGGTAGAGTCGGTCTGTTGCCTTTGGAGGACGGTAAACCTTTGAAAAACGGCAGTCCAGATCCAAAACGCATGGCTGTCGATACGATTACCAAAATGGACGTCGTTAATTGCCTGTTAGACATCATGAACAACGCGAAATTGTCGCCGAAAGTGCGCGAAAAGGCCGCCAGGACGTTGGGTTTGCTCTGCGTGGCCGGCAAATTCCCCCATTCCAGGGAAATCCTGCAAGGATTACTCAACACAGCCAAAGAGGTAACTACAATCTACACCCCTCGATCGCTTATACACTAAGTAATTCCAGACCAAAGACATCGAAGTCCACTTTACGATCGGCGAATCGCTAGTGATGTGTTGCCAGGGCGTGTGGTCTCCGGAAGCCCGAAATCCCTGGACCACTTTACCTAAAGACTACATGCCGATCGTGAACGAACCCCAAGCCGACGATAGTCTCGAATGGTTGCTCAACGAGTTACTGAACATGGCGAAAATGTCCCATCCCAATGCGAAACAAGCCTCGAGCATCTGGCTACTGGCTGTCATAAAATACTGCGGCGAACGAGAGCCTATAACCAAGCGATTGAAGTTGTTGCAGAACGTGTTTATGGAGTTTCTGTGCGAAAATAACGGTAATGGTTCACGTTTTACTGCTTGATTTGCGGTGTTTATTTGTGTTCGATCGTAGATATCATACAAGATGTGGCTTCGAAAGGTCTGTGCGTCGTATACGACACCTACAAATCGCAGGATTTGCTCGAAACGTTGGTGAAACAATTAACTTCTGGTAGTAGACAAGTAGCGCAAGTTAGCGACGATACGAAATTGTTCGAGGAAGGACAATTAGGAAAATCGCCCGTCGGGTAACTATTAAATACATACACATCTAGTAATTTAATACAAATCGTAATTCTAGAGGTAACTTGACGACTTACAAGGAATTGTGTTCGCTGGCGTCGGACTTGAACAAGCCCGATTTGATCTACCAATTCATGCACCTGGCCAATCACAACGCCATGTGGAATTCGAAGAAAGGCGCCGCCTTCGGGTTCACGAGCATAGCCGAGAAATGCGGCGAGGATCTGAAGAATTATCTGCCGGTAATCATACCGAAATTGTACCGATACCAGTACGATCCCACGCCCAACATACAATCGTCCATGCACAACATCTGGCGGGTTTTGGTGCCCGAACCCGGAAAAATCGTAAACAATTTTCATAACAGTACCGAAGGGTCGTAATCTGAGCGTTGTTTTTTCGCAGTTAGATACTTATTACAACGAAATCCTGGCCGATATTCTAGCGAATATAAACTCGAATCAATACAGAGTACGACAGTCGTGTTGTCTGGCCCTGCAGGATTTCCTTAAAGGATCCGCTAATCGTTCTATACACGATGCTGTGGATTCTATGGACGAATTGTGGACGAAATTATTCAGAGTTATGGACGATCATCACGAGCAAACCAGAACTACGGCTAATCGAACTGGTAGAATTCTAAGTAAAGTATGTATTTACGCGATTTATTTATATTTGAAATAATATATGTGATTTCTGTGCAGCTGTGCATTCGAGGCTGTGATATTAGCCAAGGTAAAATGGGCGTCGCGATGCTTCAAGCCATTTTACCCATATTGCTCAACGCGGGCATCACGAGCGCCGTCACCGAAGTGAGAATTATCAGGTACTTTAATTTTAATGCAGAGATTTGTATAGTATAATAATCGTAAATTAGTTTGCAAACCGTTTCGGAACTGGTAACATCGGCGGGCGCCCAACTGAAACCGTTCCTGCCCAAATTGATACCGGCCCTGCTGCAGGCGAGCGGCGAGATGGAATCCACGAAATTGTCGTATTTGAGCACGCGTCTCGGCGCCCAGCAGCGTCGGGACGCGCAGGAGGCGCTCGACAGCGCCCGGGCGTCGATCGCCAAGTCGCATTTCACCACCGAAACCGTCACTAAAGTAAGCTTAATACGGACATAACTTCGATGGAAGATTAATTCGGGTCGATTTGTAGAGTTTACAATACGCCGACGCTAGTATACTAGAAGAATTGGTACCGAAAGTGATCGAGTTAATGAAAGGTTCCGTGGGTTTGAGCACGAAGATCGTTTGCGCTCATTTCATAACGCTGTTGGTAGTTCAAATGGGACGAGACGTCCAACCCTACACTGGTATTTAATTTAATTCGGTTACAAATAAGAGTGTATTGATTCATTTTCGGTTTATTGTAGGGAAGTTTCTGGCGGTTTTGATCAACGGTTTGACGGACAGGAATTCTGTAATCAGGGAATACAACGCCACAGCCATCGGTCATTTGGTCGCCACAGCCAAGGAGAGCAGTTTAGATAAACTCACGTTGAAATTGCGCAAGTGGTATTTCGAACGAGAAGGTATATAAACGATTTAATCGAGTTTTAAATACTTAAATGCAATTCTCGCAGACGATTCGATGAGATCCGCCATCGCTCAAACCATCCAAGCGATCGGCATCCACAATCAGGACGTGATCAAATCCCATTCGGACGTGATTTTACCGCTGGTGTTTTTCGCCATGCACGCCGAGAAAACACCCGAAACCGAACGAACGTTGGAAATATGGAAGGAAATTTGGTCGGAGCAAAGTCCCGGCACCGAAACGGGCATCAGGCAAAATTTGAAAAACATCTGCGACATACTCACGACCGCTTTGGAGTCGCCTTCGTGGACCATGAAAGCGCAGGTGATGAAATAACGGTTATTTCCAACGCCACCTCTATACCGAAAAATCCATTCCCGCCTCTATTAAACTTCTGTCATTAGTGTCAATTTTGTTGTTTTTGACGTTAATGTATCATCGAACGCAACTTACAAGTTCTCGTTTGTAGGCAGCCAATGCGGTTTCGACGATTTCGGCCAAACTGGGAGTATCGATGGACGCCGAACACAGGAATTCGTTAATATCGATATTACTGGCCGGTTTATCGGGAAGGACTTGGAACGGCAAAGACAGATTACTGAAAGCTCTGGCGAGCATTTGCAGCCATTGCAAGTTAGTAGAATATTTTCTAAGAAACAAACACTCGAATAACGCGCGTATTAATTTCAGGGAAGCCGTAAAAACCGATCCGAACGTAGACACATCGAAAATAATCGAGGCCGTGTTGAAAGAAAGCAAAAAGGACGAGACCGTGTACAAGATAAGCGCCCTGCAGGCCTTAGGCGACATCGTATCCTCCTTGGAAATCGACAAATTCAAAGAAATCTACGAAATCATACAAACGATTATAATCGACGACAACGAATCGAAAGACGACGACGCCGATTTGACCGCCGAAGAGACGAGCAAACGCCGCGAGAACGACGTCAAACTGAAAGAAACCGCCTACGAGACGCTCGGCAAAGCCTGGCCCTCTAACGGCGAATCCACGCAACAGATCTACAGGCAGCAATTCGTCGAACACACCGTCGAATATCTACCGAAGCTCGCCAGATCGGCGCAGGTGAGCGTCGTCGCGGCGCTCGACCGGTTCGTCGACAAACTGACGCTGTTGGCCGACGAAGATCTCGCCGAAGCCGACGAGAAGAGCCTCGAGCTGATCGTGGAGGACGTGCTGAAGGCGGTGAGGTACGCGCTGAGCATCGGCAAGCACACGCGCCTGCGCAAAGAGGCGCTGAACGTCGTCTACACGTTGGGCACGAGGTTGAAGGGGAGGCGCAGGGAGAAGGAGTTGGACGGGTTGAGGAGGATGTTTAATGGCATGTTGCCTGATATTGCTGTCGATACGCAGCCGGAGATTAAATCGCGGGTGGTGGATATCAAGAAGTTGTTGAACGATTAGGATTTTAGCGGTTTTTAGTTGTGTAATTGTTTAATTTAATAAATTATGTAATCTTGTTTGGGGTGTTTAATTGCGGGCGTACTAACAACCTCCTACTAAGATCTAAAATACTCCTGCCTTCACATAATTTTTCAGTTAAGATAAATAAACCACCCCGTATATCAATTTTTCTGATTTCCATAATGAAAAAACACCCTGTACATCGAATTAAATGTCAACGTATCCTTTAGTAACGGAAATGACAACTTTGACAGTTTGTTTATCGCCGCTGTCATTAGTGTAAGTTTTTTTAAAAATAATTTGATCGTTACTCGGTTTTTTTGGTAAGTACAAATTACGAAGAAATATATATTTTTGCGAATTATTGCAATTTCTTTTATTCTCGTCCATTAAAAGCGACGAAATTTTCGAAAAATAACGAAAAAGTCTCTCGTTTCGGTGTGGTTCCGTTTAAGCCAAACGAACGGGCAACGTCCATCAAATAAATTATGACAGAAACCTGTCAAAAAATTTACTTTTAATTTCGATTTACGGAAAAAACGAATTTAAATAGCAAAAAGAGGTCGATTTTCGTAGTAATCAGGGATTTTTTTAAACTCCCAACTCTGTTCTATCTTTATACAACACCTATATGGGATTTTTGCAAAATTCAATATCATGTTCCAGTTAAGCACCTCGCTAATGCAGCGTTCAATAGAAATTGTATAATTAATAGGTAGATATTGCGCAATTATATAATTGGAAATTTATGTAATTAAAGCGCATTTGCCATCGTTATAAACGGTATTTTTCCCAGTTTATCGACCCGATTTTTCCCTTAAAAAATTTCCAATTTATAACCGTTCAACGATGATTCCGATCGGGCATCCTCTTCGAAACCGCAAATCATTTCGATTCCACGCCAGCTGATCGTACTTTAGGTCAGTACCATCGAATAACAAGCAAAAGTAGGCCATCGTTGGTACCACACTCTCGACAGCTCGGTTTCCTCGAGCACCCGCTCTCGGTTCTTCTACTCATTTTCATTCAGTACCATCTGTGCAGCGCGTTCGTTCGGAATCCGGTACCACCGATTCTCTATTCTCTATTCTCTCGCAGTGTTTTTTTATATAGTACCGCCGTGTCTGATTTATTTCGACGTTCCGATTGTTCGTTTTCGGTTTATAATTAATTCGAGTACCTACATAGTACCGCCTCGTTACCGTTTGTTTTGTTATGTAAATTCGCGTGTATAGAAGAAAGTCTGTGCGTTATTTACGGAGTGCTCGTGAACTATTCTATTCGTCTAGGTAAAAAGTTTATACGTGAGAAATGGTTTCTTTTTGATTCGAGGATGAATTTCTATTACTAAAATTCGTTTGTAAATCGTTGCTCAATGCGATTTATAATGCATACATATCGCATAACACGCGATAAATAGAATAATTCGATATAAACCCGTTAATTACGAAATTAGCGACGCTTTTGCGATGGAATCGATCGCTAAATTAGCGCGAAAATTCCGAAAATTAACGTTCTATTCATCGACTTTGCCGAATTTTCTCCCCATTAAAATAGCGGTTAAATTTATTAACTCCTATATGAAGATTTGGAAGAAATAATATTACATTTTGTGCAATTCTCCTACATGCAAGAAGCGCCTTTTCTGTGTTAATTACTTTAGATTTCTCGAAATTTAACCTTACTATCACCACTTTATTATTTTATTATTCGTTCTGAATTTGAGCAACAATGTTCATCTACAAGATATGGAATCCTTTCGCGACCTTGTGTGAAAAAAATCTACACACAAAAAGAACTTTTAACAGACAAAAATCGCTAAATCGAGATTATTAGGATCAACCTAGATGCATTTTCATTACTGGTCGTTGCTTAATTGGCCATTATTTTTAATTGCAGAGGTGTTTTAGCTTGCAATAAATTCAAACAAAGAAGACGATTCGGAGACTTTTAACATGTTTTTTCAATTATTCTAAATACACGAACTGTAAAGTTACTTATTCTTTGTTTTGTAGGCGATATTGCGGATATGTTGGTTAACAAACACACAAGTTATTTCCTAATGCAACTCTCGCATACTTCACTAAAAGCAACCGTTTATTATAAATTAATTCGGCTTAGTTCTTTAATTACAGTATACCAAAAAAGTATTCGTACACTCGTATTATAATCATTATACGTGTAATTACCCGTTTAATAAATATACAAATGAAAAAACAATTAACAGGCAGATTTGGCTCCATTCGATCCAAAAATGTTATACTTACTCTCATCTGACAATATAACCTGGTTCCAGAACTCTAAACGTTTATTAATGTAACGCTTAGCAAACTCCACTCTTAGCTTTCGATTTTTCTTATTTATCCTTGGCTTTTAGCAGGTCTTCTTCCTCTATATTCTAATCGCTTAATGTGGTATCGAAGAGTTTCCGGATGGATCTTATGCCATGTACTGGATTCCAGTTCAGAAACGATGTATGGAGCACTTACAAAGGGAATTTTTTTAACTTTTTGATAAATGAAATTCTGATCTCGTTGAGTTAACTTGGCAGTACCTCCCGATCTTGACTTATTTTCCACGGAACCAGTAGATTTATATTTTTTCACAATGTACTGAACTGTAATATGTGTTTTTTGAACAATTTTACCTATCTCCTTATATTATTTTCCTTCTATAAAATGATGGATGATGACTTTTTTAAGACACCATCTATTTCTTCAGTTTTTCTAGGCATTTTAAGGTAAACTTGAATTATTTTGAAAACAGAACTAGGAGCTCAACCTAATACTAATATACCGGCGAAAACAATAAACAATTTAATATCTACAGAGTGAAGAAATTGATAAAACGTTGCTGTACGAATACTTATTTTGGGGATAATGCAAACATTTTTCGTTTTTTTTTATTTTACATTTTTAATAACAATGTTAATTAATGATTGCAAGAATAGTCTTGAAATGTAGATTTTAATTTGCTAGTTACTTCTTGTTTCTGTTTACTGAACGCGGACTTCCAGAACATAATGCAACTGTACGAATACTTTTTTGGTCTACTGTATATCCCATTAGGTTATTCAACCTTTAAGTACACAATAATTTTCCAATGTTTAATCGGCGGAAATTTATTCGTTAAATTATGTTTTTAATGCGTTAGTTCGCATTGCAATTACCTTACACCTTATACCCATTTATATGAGATTGTGGAATAATTCGTTAATTGCCTGGAAATGTAATAAAACCAACTAATTAGGTACATAATTGATATTTTATGTTTTAATTGACGGCCAACCGAAATATTTTTAATTAAATTAATACACATACTGACTCTATACAATTCTTTATGAGCAATTACTGCTTAATTACAAGTTTACTAATTGGCCAGTCATAACAATTATTTCTCTACTAATAAACTGTTATAGATGAGGAATAATCAAATAAGTATGTATGACAAATGTCGTCTGGTTTACCGGAAAAATAAATTTAATCTACAAATTGTATTTATTGTTCGATATTCATTGTTATGTGTCAGGTTATTTCCTAAAGCATTTTAACGTCTACATTTTTAAATCTACGAAAAATACACATACAGTTCAACTTTCGATTTTATTACGAAAACTGAGTGTATTTGAAGTTATAATTAGCTTATAGTACACGTTTTTGAACAGGTAAATAGGTATATTGCATAAAAATTTGTTATTTTCGTACGCTCTAGCAAGCATATGGGAGTTAAACCTGTTGACCCAGAGGTCAAATGTATATATTTATAAAGATATATCATTATATTTCGCGAATCTTTGTTATTTATAGCCATATTTCTCATTCCTTAATTGCAAAAGTACCTGAACCTCTTCCGAAATTCCAAATCCCTTCGAATCGCCTTATTATGTTTGATATTCCCCCGTATATTCGCAGTGAATCTAACATTATACAGCCAAATTGGCTCGTTCCGGGCAAAAAGAATTCCTTCTTCTAATTCCTAAATTCAACTGATTCGGACGGATTTCGCCTAATCACCGTCATTTCCTCCAGAAATTGGATTGCTCGAGTTTACAGGCTATTTAATTACCGGTTTCCAGACCTTTTTCCCGACGAAAAATCCCCGGAATTTATACCGAACGCTCAACCATTACTCAATCGTTTACATTATTAGGTAAATTATAGGCGACTTTATGAGCATGCAAAGCGATCCAGTGCAAGGTGAGACAACAATTTCTATCTCTAAAGCAAAAAAATGGTCGTCATACAAGGCAACAAGTGAAGGTATTTGAACGTTGAAACCAGTTTTGTGGTATTAAAAACGTATTAATAAAGGCGCTGCGCTACTTCGGATTTTCACTCGATCTTCACTGCAAATATTCGAGAAAATATGGAAGAAATCCGGTGCCTATTACAAACAGAATTAAATTCGACTTGCATCCGATCGATATTCAACTCTATCTAGTATGGAATTGGTCGAATATAACAGATTAATTCGAGCCTATATACCATCAGAATGGTTAATAGCGCGTTTACTATTCAATTACTCGAGCACACAACACGCCATTTTAAGTGAAAGTTGCGTAATAATTTTTCTACATTACTCGAGTCAAGTTCTAAAAAACTTAAAAACAAACGTCTGCGAAATGGCATTATAATTGGGTAGATTTAATTGAATAGGATGCGTTTTATTCAACGCTAGGTAATGAAATTAACCGTGTGATGTAGCAGAAGTGTATAGTAAAAATATAGAGGAAAACTCATTAGGCTAATGGTCAATTAGCAGGAAACGGTAGGAAGACAGTTAATATTATTAATAGTCGGGTTTTGCTTGCGAAATTGAAATCTACGATTAATTTGCGAATTTTCCAACGGCGTTTCTTCTTTTTTTATTAATCGCGAGAGCAGGATTAGACTGATGAAACGTGACTTATTTTTACCCATTTTCCGTCTCGCCGAGATAATTCCAACAGGATTTTCCGGCCGATGAAAATCGCAAATGACAATTCGATATCTCCGCGGTACAAGCACAAATATAATTACTCCATCATTCGCCATAATCTAATAACTTTAATTTTGGTTTGCAGCGAGAAACTACTCTCTTTCGAAGCGGATAAATGCACCTTTCGATGATCGAATGAATTTAACAGTGAAAAAATTCATCGAAAAAACAGTAATAAACTAGAATTCGTGTTTATATGTGATGTGCGATCGAAGAGTATTCTACAAATGATCGAAACACAACAAACCGTGATCGAAATATGGTAGCTCATGTGGCAATTTCGGCTCTACTGGTTTGGATTTCCGGACTTTTTGCACTAGGTACGTTGAATTTTGTGTTATACTAATTATTGGCGAGGATACTCGTTTGTATTGATCATAACTTCCCGGCAATGTCCGAATTTATTATTAGAAATAACTTGTTTAATACCCTTTTAAATATTTAATCCTTCTAAGCGACGTTTAATAATCGGGCTTTTCGGTTACGAATTTGTAATTAATTCGTCGAAATTCCACTACAATCGTTATTTAACGAACGGAAGAAATGTTCTCTACAATTAAGTACAGTTTTTTTACCGCTTTTATAAAAAATCGTGTCGTGTTATGTATGAGAATCGGTTTCAAATAAAATGAAACACCGTTAAGCGTTATTAGTCCTACTTAATTCGATTAAATTTTTATAATTCGACCCGCTTTTTACCGTCTGTCTTCCACAACAGAAGGAACTTCTTCTATTCTTGTTCATCACTAAATATTCTGTCGCTTTATACCGTTAAAATAGATGTTCTTTCTGTCCCATTTTCCGCGGTAAAATTAGATTAGGGCTCGGTGTACTTACGTTACATATACTTGTCCCTTCTACATACTATTCGCTTCGTTAGAAATCTAATCAATTCCAACAATTTACCGTAGTTTTGCATAATAAACGAGCAATGTATGCGGATGCATTCGCAATAGAGAAACAATAACACCGGAAGAAAGGCGCCCAAAAGTGATTTACGCGCTCGAAACTCGAAGCTTTCGTTTCTGCGCTAAACGAACGAGATTTCTACGGGTGATGTCGGAAAAACGCGGATAATTTTTCTCGATTTAACGTGTAAATTACGAGCTAATAGGATGCGCCTTTCACCTCATCTGAATACGAACGGGCGAAGAACTTTGACAGTGACTTTCGAGCCGCTCCCTTTTTACTGTATCTTGATAACGGCCTCGAAAGTGAACGTTAATTGTGTATTTTATTCACTCGAGAAACATCTAGATTTGCCCTTGCATATTCGAGTAATCACTAAGAGATTTCATGCATTTAGTTTATGCTTTTAGTAGGAATATTGTGCAAAAAGTTGTAAATAAATAGTGCTATGAGAAACTTTCTTAATTAACTCTGAATGTTTCATTGTAATTACATCTGCGACCTCCGAGAGAATAATATTCAAATGCAGAATTTTGTTGCATTCTATACACCGACAACGCCTTCACTTTCGAGAGTTTTAACATAATAAATATTCGCATAATACAAACATTTTTCGCGCTAGATTAAATATTTGTTCGACAACAAAAAATCTCACCCTTATCTTACCCGTTTAATTCCATCCCGTTCAGTTTGTTTTATTAATGAATCGTTCCTCGAGGAAGTTCATAATTCATTTTTTTTTCGTAATTAATTCTCGGAATAAAAATATTTTACAAATTCGAGTATATGTAGGTGAAACTGACCCGAATGATTCGTAAAGGTTGCATCAGGGAAAATATATTCGCTCGCTCGCCGCGAAGAAAGTAAAATTTCTATTGTGATAATATCCATTTTCAGCGTTCGTTCGATTAGCTTTAATTATTACTTTTTTTTTTTATTTCGAAGGTAGAGCGTAAATAAATAATTATCAACCGATAGTTTTGCCCAATAGTTGAGCTTTCTATACGCGCGGGAAATCTTCGCAATTCGAGATATTCCACCAAACAAAATACAATAGAACATTCTACAGTTTTTTTTTATGTATACTTGTTACATTACTTAAGGCATTCCGAGCACGTTCGTGTAGCGCAATTAGGAGGAGTTTTTTTTTTACAACTGGATATTATAATGCGATTTATGTAGGAATTCGATTAGCTTTGAGCGGTCTATAATTGAATTCCACGTAACAAGTCTTCAGTAGAAAGGAAAATCTGTTTGTCAGTTTGAAATAATATCCCGAGAATCGATGTTGAAATTGACGGTCATTAGACCGTCGAGAGGAAGTTCAAATAAAGAAGATGCAAATGATAATAATTTCTTCTTGCGTAACGTCGAGTCTGTTACACGGAAGGAAGTAATGGATTGATGAAGAAATCGTTTTCGATATCGATTTTATTTTTTGTTGTCCGTACATTTATATTATAATTATTTAATATTTGTACAGTGTTTTAATTAGAGTAAAAATTCAACGAAAAGAAAGTCGGGCGAGCGAAGAATCATCGCACATTAATTAAACGCCTAAAGAATGCAAATTGATGCTTAATTGACCAATCTAAATATCCCAAAAACATCCTTCCATTATTAATTAAACAATCATCATCACTCATAATGATATATCGAAGTCGAAAGATGAAAACCGTACGAAAAATCATTCATTAATTCTAAGTGCACGCCATTAATCTCCGCCCGTAAAGGGAATTAGTAAATAATTCGAAACGCCCGCATTTTAGGACTCCGCTCTTTTACTACTCTATTAATAACCCGACTGTAATGAAAAAAGCGCGATTACTCCTTTACTGCGCGCGTAAAATTCACAACAAACCGTCCTTTATTCCACTGTACTCGTCTTCTTTTAATTTCAAAGCGCCCCAATTACCAAAATTTAACCGCTAAACCGCCCTAACAGAGGCCGACATTAAATTTAAGAGATTTGACGTGAGATGACATTTGACATGTACACGTCAAAAATAGCGTAATTCAAAAATTATTCAAATAAATAAGATTTGTGGAGGTAGAGGAAGAGTAAAATCTTCTTTGCGCATTAATTATGGAGTTTTCCTAATTCCCGGCAATAAATAATATACAATATGGCTTCATTCCAGATCGCAATATAGGTAATATAAGTGCGATAAAGACAACTTCCATTAGACATTTATAAAAGGAAAAGGAAAGATTTGTGATCATTGCAACTTTTCACTCTCACAACTGTCATTTTATTAATCTTTCTTTGTTCGATTCATAGAATCGGTAGAAACAAACATCGAAATTCGGCCTAATGCCGCCATTAATTTATAGCGTTAAAAAAAACAACTATTTTACCGATCAGGTCTGGCGTTTCCTCGGGTGGATCCCCTGCTGGAGAAACTGGACGAGGTGCACGATGCCGAAATATACAAGGCCATCGTGACGTCAATGAACGAATGGGAGAAACGCCGGGCGCAAAAACGCGAAACCAATCGGTGAGTCAACACCAACAATTCCCTCGCAATAATCGCATTATTACAATAATTCATCGGATCAGGACGAAGCGCGACGACGTGCCGATCGCCTGCTACAAGGACCTCGGTTGCTTCGAGGCCTCCGGCCCCTTCGGCTATTTGGACACGTTGCCCGACAAGCCGGAGGACGTTTCCACCAAGTTCCTGATGTTCCCGGGCCGGCGACGCCGGAAGCGCGGCTCGCCCGACGCCGAGGTGCCCTTCGATCGGCTCGACGAGGCCTTCGAATGGGCCAAGGAGGGCTTCAACGGCAGCCTGCCCACCAAGGTGCTCATCCACGGCTTCGGCAGCGACTGCAACTACATCTGGGCCTACGAGATTCGCAGCGCCTTGATGTACGTGGTAAGTAACTCCACCTTTTATATAATAGAAATTATATTATCGATTGGTGTTTTGGGTGGATGTTAAGGAAGAGGTGAACATCATCTGCGTGGATTGGAGCAACGGAGCGGCGTTGCCTAATTACGTGAAGGCTTCGGCGAATACTCGATTGGTGGGTAAGCAATTGTCGTTGTTGCTCAGAGGTTTGGTGGAGAGGAACGGTATGCAGTTGAAGAAGACTCATTTGATCGGGTTCAGTTTGGGCGCACACGTGGCTGGATTCGCCGGAGCCGATCTCGGCAATTTGAGCCGAATTACCGGTAAGATTTCTTCGATTAATCTACTAAAAATACCAGTTTCTTTATCTGAAATATTAGACAACCTGTAGGATTCTTTAACGAATCTACTAAAAATACCAGTTTCTTCATCTGCAAGATTAGACAACCGGTAAGATTCTTTAACGAATCTAGTAAAAATACCACTTTCTTCATCTGCAAGATTATAGACAACCGGTAAGATTCTTTAATGAATCTAGTAAAAATACCACTTTCTTCATCTGCAAGATTAGACAACCTATAAGATTCTTTTACGATTCTACTAAAAATACCACTTTTTTCATCTGAAATATTAGACAACCTGCAAGATTCTTTAACAAATCTACTAAAAATACCACTTTTTTCATCTGAAATATTAGCCAACCTGCAAGATTCTTTAACTAATCTAGCAAAAACACTACTTTCTTCATCTTGCGCCGCCGCCCGGGGACGGCTAGAAGTAAATTGAATTTGTTTCCGTTTGCAGGATTGGACCCGGCGGGTCCTTTGTTCGAGTCGCAGGACCCGCGGGCGCGGCTGGACCAAAACGACGCCGAATTCGTGGACGTGATCCACAGCAACGGGGAGAATCTGATCTTGGGAGGATTGGGCTCATCGCAGCCGATGGGCCACGTGGATTTCTACCCTAACGGGGGGCGCATGCAGAAGGGTTGCAGCCATCTATTCGTCGGCGCCGTCAGCGATATCATCTGGTGTAAGTGTTAGGAGTGAATTTTTTTCGCGCGGTTTTGTACCGATTTCGATGAAAAAACAACGGGAGATGGATAACAAAACAAGAGTCGATTGTGTTTGTGTTGTTTTAAATTTGCGAAAATACGCGCCGAATCGATATATTGGATTTTTTTTAAAGCGGGTTTTGAGGTAAAAAAGTTTCGTAACCTTTCGAATTTAACAATGTACAGGTTTTTTATTTGTATCTCGATTTTTTCCGAGAGCAAAGGTATAGAAGAGTCAATAAGGTTTCTGCTAGTCGAACTATTGCGAAATTTATTGCGTCGCGACGCTATTTACATACACCAAAAGCGATGGAAAAAAAAACTCAACACCACGACACATTTTTATTTTCTACTTCTTCTTCTAATCCGAAAGACGTTATACATTATGTATTCCCATCAGCGAGTGTTATTTACGATTCAGGAATTGTTTCGCAGCTTCGGCGGTGGAGGGTCGGTCGCTGTGCAACCACCGAAGGGCCTACAAGCTCTTTATAGATTCGGTCTCGCCGAGATGTCATTTTCCCGCCTTTCCGTGCGATTCCTACGAGAGTTTCCTCGACGGAAAGTGCTTCCCTTGCACCGACGAAAGGTAAGAGATATTCCCTTTTACGCGGAAAAAGCCTAATTTCGCATAGGCAACGCGACGGGAATACGTTTATTTTATAGGCGTTTTTGATCACCTCGAATTCCCGCTACCTTTTCTAGCGCAATAGATAGTAAATGTAATCGGGAATTGAAGGTGAACTTCGCGGATGGTAAAGCGATTGTTTGCAAACGTGCGTTGCAACGGGGATAATTCCGGGTTAACCCCGCGCGAAAATGCATTCTCGAGTTTCTCTCGAGCCAATTGGCGAATCGGTGGCTCCCGCTGTGAATAACAATCAGACGGAAAGTTTCTTTTTCGCTCGCCGATTCGTCGCACGTTCCGACTAATTCGCTCGGCTGTCGAGTACATTTTTTGCGATACCGAAATTCTTTCAGAGTTTGCGGCAATATGGGCTACTACGCGGACAGATCGAAAGGTAGAGGCCAGTTGTATCTGATAACGAGAGACGAGGAACCGTTTTGTGGTATGATTTTCAACAAAATTTACGCGATATTCGAAGGATTTATCGAGTTTGTTTTCAGCTCATCAGTATCACGTGAAATTGGAGACCAGCCAAAGTCCCGTGCCGGTGAAGAGTTACGGGAAAATCCAAATTACGTTGATTGGTGAATCGTCTTTGAACGAAACCTTCGTTATGACGAAGTGAGGAATTCTAAAATAGTTTTATAGAGCGAGATTAAATGATTTGGTTTTTGTAGAATCGACGACGAGGAATTGAAACTCGGCGAATCCATATCAAAAATATTAGTGCCTCACCCGATTCTCGGTCAACCGGTGAAAATCGAAATACTCTACACAGCTTACAGCGGCTGGTTATCCTCCGGATTGATCCAATGGAGCATCGATAAAGTCACTCTAATGGACAGTTTCGGAAAAACGTAAGCACATTCTCTTACATCTTACATCACCTAATTCATTTCTTATACACAGCTCATCCGTGTGCAAGAAGAACCTAATTCTACAATCAGGCGTACCCGTATTGCTTCCTCTATACCCAGGCGAATGCAATCTACCATCAGAAACCGAAGCCCAAGACAGGATCCAAACATCCCTCGAGCCTTCAAACTCCTCGAAACGCCCCGATTTCATCCCCACGCAAGTCATCAAAATCGGCCTCAACGACACCGACTTCAAATCCGAATTATCCTTCAAAAACGCCGCGGATTTCTTCAACATCCCGTCGCGCGACGACGTCGAAAACGACCTCATAGACGAGGCGGAATCGAGCAGAGCCTTCAACACCAGAACCGTCAAAACCCGCAGCAGCGACAAGGCAATCGAAATCGAAATCGTCGAGCCCGTTCTCAGGACGCACGCGCACAAAAACGCCCGATCGCACGATCCCGAACACGATAACAAACGCGCGGAAATCACCGAGCCTCTGCTCGGACCCACTACAGAAAAAACCGCCACAAACGCACCTACAAAAGAGGATAATAACGGCGTTGTTAGCACCGCGAAGAAGCCGAGAAAGCGGCAGGACGAGTCGAGGATATTGTCCGATAATCCCATCGAAGCCATCGCCAATACCGTGCAATTCCTGCCGCAGAGACTCGCCAGGATGTTCGAGCAAGCCGAGCGGTACGCTAGAGAAACCATCCTACCGTTGGTTAGTACTTATACACCGAGATTCTTCGCCGATGTGGTTACTAAAGATGCCGGTACGCCTAAATTCGTACCGCTACATTACGAGGAATCTACCGCTAAAATAATAGCAACTTCTACTGAAGATGTTGGGAGAAAAGTGGAGGATTCGAAGAAGAAGATTGTTGTGGATGATGTAGAGCTGGATTCGGCCGGTTCGGAGAGCAGGAATCGCAGGATTTGGAGGGAACAATCCGGCGAAGAGGCGAAGAGGAAGGCGAGGGAGGATAAGAACGTTAGTAATGGTGGTGTTGATATCGTTTATTCTCATCATCACGCTTTATTGGCTTCCGCTAATCCGGACGATTCGATTTACGTCGATCTGCCCGTGTTCGATTACGACGAGAAAAAAATCAAATACATACCGGTGACTCGTGATAACTGATCGAAAAATCGACTCGATTTTATTTATTTATTGACTGTTTTTCTCGTTTGTTGTTTGTACTTCCACTTGTACTACTTTATTGTTGTTGTTGTTGTTGTTGATGCTTCGTGAAGTGCATTTTTATACTTATTAAAAATTTTTCGAAATTCGTCGAGCTTTTATAATTGAGATTTAAATTCGGGCGCTCTTGCGGATGTAATAAGGATAAACATGCAGAATCCAGGTTAATTAACGAAGGGAAAGGGAGCTAATTTGAACATTTGGATTAATACCACACAAAATACAATGTAAATATTAAAGAATATAAAATACTCAATCATCGCTTATTCCTCATTTCATTGCGCGCTGTTAATATTGTTGCTTTTTTACCACCATTCAAGCACTTAAAACTTTTAAAACTCTTAAAAATAAAATCCAATAACACCATCACATCATTCTCACATTCCTCTCCTTCAACATATACTAATTTCCAGATACACCTTGCGAAACAACCTTTTTATACATCCTTGTTCCATTTTCTATTGCAACATGGTCGTTTCTATGAGTTGAACAAAGAAAGATTGATAAAATTGACCATATTGCAATCGGAAATGGAGCAAGGTGTATAGCCTACATAACCTATGTTACGATCTGGAACGAAGCACAGTGTATAACGAGAATTGGACAACATTTTCAGGCAAACCGAAGCAATTCCGGGGAACCATTGGATTCGATAATCCAAGTGATACGGGTCCTGCCGGAAAACATCAACAAAATCTTCCACCAAGCGCAGAAATTCGCCAAAGACAGCATCGTGCCCTACATGTCGAAATTAACGCCCAGACAAATGATGGTGGACGCTTTCAAATTGCCCAGCAAAATATTGCCCCACGTTATCGCTCCGTTGAATCGAGAGGAGACCGATAAAGCGAGCGATAAAGCGAAGAGGAACAGGCGAAACGAGCGCGAAGAGGCGAAAGATGAAGATTTCGATGTGGAAGAATTCGATAGTAAAGAGGAGAGTACCACTTACAGTAATATACAAAAGATAGCCAAAAAGAAGTGTTGCGGATCGTGAAAAAAATTGATACAAATCTCGTATACACTGCATTAAATTTAATATATGTGTAAATATTATAAATAACTTTTATCTGTAATAAAATTTTTACAATAAATTTTCGCTCAAAAAAAAATCCCGTTTGTACATATACTCATTAAAATCGCTTTTAGCATTTCTATCGCCGGGCGAAAGTTTAACGTGTAAATAAAATTTCATTTTCATCTCTCACGCTTCGTTTGTACACAAAAATCCCCCTAATTTCCCCAAAATATTTCTCGCGCCACTCCATCAAACAAATTCTCGTTATACACAAATACACGGGCGCGGTATTATCTCCACTAATAAGTAATTTACACGCCACTTACGCTACGTAAAGTGCAACTTATATCGCTAAACAAACAATTACCTAATACAACGTTCATTCGGGAATCGTCGAACAAGTATCCAGGAATCGTTCCAGCTCTTCCAACCGCCTAATCTCGCGCTGTATATGCCTCAAATGGCCCCATCTCAGCTGCTTCAATTGCTTCACATAAGCCGGTTCCTCTGCACATTTACATCGTACAGATATATACATGAATAAATAAAATAAATACCTGTAGTGCATTTGCACAGGTCGCATTTATTCCCATCATCTTCCACCAACAATTCCATCTCGTCCTTGCTACACGAGGAATTCCTGCCGCTCGCGTGCCGATTTACGACGCCTATCGCCCTTCGAGCGTCCATCAGCTCCTGCTGAAAACCCCCATTAAAACCGTTCGGATGTAGATAAATAAATTTTATACCTCGACGTCGGCGGTCCTGCCGCTGGGCACCGTCCCCAATTCCCTGCTCAGCGCCCTGTCGATCAAATTCACGATGTAGCTCTTCGATTTGTGCAATTCCAGCGCTCCGGTATCGTCCAGCATCGTCCTCGCTGCGCGTTTGTGTAGAGAACAATTCGAGCTTTTAAGCTCGTCCAACTTCGGAGGCTTTAAACGAGAAACATCGCAGATTTATAAACTAAACTCACCCTAAATTGGTAGTACCTTTTGTTCGGCGGTTGTTTGGGGTCCGATTCGGCATTCGTCGGGCCGCTTCAGCTCGTCGAGCAACTCGTCGAGCGCCGACGGGGGATTTTTCCGCGTCGGTTTCTTCGATTCGTCGCCGATCGCCTGAAAATTTCATCGAGTTAAAACCGGCGGAGAAGCGAGGAAAGGTGGAGAGAAGGCGAGGAATAATTCAACGCGCTAAGTTGGTTTGTGTTTTTTTGTTTGTCTCGAGAGAGATTGAGAAAACAATCCCGCAAATGGAGGAGTCGATGTATAAATATCTGATGTGGAAAGGCGGCTCACTTCGGTTTTTAAGAGCCTCGCTAATTTCGAGATTTCCTCGTTATTCTCCCGCTGTTGGAATTCCGTTTTGCGGCGATCGAATCCTTCCGATGTATCGCGCTTTACCTACGACAAAAAAAAATTGATAAACTCCCGAGGTGTAAAAATAGCGGAGGTAATAAAGCAGCGGGTCGATTTGTGTTTTTTTTTTGTCGAGTTTTTTGCTCGTTAAATATTTCGCGGTTTTTACCGAGCAAGGCTCCGAGCAATCGTCGGATTCGGGTTTTTTGCACCGTCGGATTCCGGCAGGAGCTCGTCGAGGGACGCAGAGGGACGAAAACGGCCGTCTGGGGGCGACACCGGTCTGGGGTTTCTTGTAATGTCTGCAATTCGATTTTTTATTTCACTCATTTCACGCGCCGTAATCGGTCGTTTATTCGAAATTTTGGCGGACGCGCGCCGATGCATCGCCAATTTTTTAAAGAGATTACGAGGGTAATGCGAAAGGTTCTCGCTCTGACGTGAAGAAATGAGACTAAATGAACAAAATGTTTAGTTCGAAACGGTTCTAAATGATTCTGGAACATTCTAAATGGTTCTACACAGTTATAGAATTAATTACAAATTAATTGGAGCGTCCTCAGTGTATATCGAGCCGAGAACTTTTCACTCTACCCTCGTATTTAACGCTTTTATTTTTTTATCTGCTCGACTTTTACAAATAAACACACGAATGTTTTTTTTTTTGGGCGGCGTTTTTCAATTATTAATCGACAGTAATGCGCAAACAAAACGACCGATTGTGTGAAATATAATAGAAGACGTTTCGTGTGATGTGGATAATCGAGAAATATAAAGAGAGTAATAGGATTGAAATGGCAAAGGGGGATTTGTAAATATTTTGTCGAGCTTTCAGTTGGAATTCCGTCTATTTTTTGACTATATCATTAATAATTCGTGAATCTCGCAAAACCAGTTATTCGAAATGATAAGAGACGTTTTATTCTATTCTATTAATAAAATATTGCCTTCAACTTCTGGTTTAACATAGAATATATAGTTCGTACGCCGGAATGCGTCAAACTCCAATTTATAAAACCACAGCAATTTTTCTACAAATATACTTCCACTTTTTGAACGATTCAAAAACGAGCTATTTCTATCTTCACAATTATTCAATTAAATTTTTTTATATAAAATAATAACAATTTATTATCCATATGGCGCATAAAATACCATACTCAGAAACACCACGCAAACACCGAATAAATATAATGGAAATTTATGTTTCCGTGTATTCAAGCGACATACGGCTTTTCGAATTGCACATTGTACATAATAATTTTCAGGTCAGGGATGCAACCTTAAGTTATAAATATACCCTTAAAAAAAACCCTTCTCGTTAAATTTATCAATCCTAATTATTCAAAATTCGCTTCGAGGAAACGCCTACGCCGAAGATTATCATTAATATGAATATGTTATTTAATTATAATAACAGGATTGCGTGCAATTCGAAAACACACACACACAAAAAAAACAAGAAAAGCATTTCTCCTATTACAGAATTAGCAACTTTCCCGAAAGCTTCACAATCACCTATCCCGAAAACTTTAATTCACTCTTAATGAATGCCACGTATCAGGGTAAAGGAAAAGGAAGTTTTTCGGGCCCTCTTTTCGAAAGTGTTTCCACATCGCGAATTAATTAGAAATTCCCCGACTTTTACATCGCAAAAATAAACCTGCTAAATATGTATACACAAAATATCTATATTCAAGACTAAATGTAATTAGAATAAGGGAGATGATTATAATAGCTCGGTGGTAAACTTGCATTTAAAAGCACCCCTAAAGACAAAATATACGACTCGTCGTGCATTCCAGCCTAATATTGATTACGTGTAAAGTAGTAAAGTAATTTAAATTTATAGTCTAGCAACGCAAACTAAACATTCTAAACCTTTGATAATATATCTCGTAATAACAACAACAATAACATCGTTTCGTTGTTATTTCCCTCGCTTGTATATAATATTCGAAGATTGCAAAAATATTCATTTTTGCGAAATTATTATTTTACAACCCGCCTTCATGCTAGATAAATCTCCTTCTAGCTCTAGACGAGCAAGAAAATTAACTTCCACTATCTCGAAGGATTTATATTATCGCTAATACCGGTTGATGTCGCTCGACTCCCGGTATTGTTTCCTATAAACGATTCATTTTATAGGAAACCCATTCCGCGAAAATCCAATAACCCACATGTACGGATATTAGGTAAGTATTATATACTATATCCCCCCCGAAAATCTCCATAAGCGAATATACAAAACATATTTCTCGAATATCTCCTGATGAAGAATTTATTATAATATATACCTCATCAAATATACCTTGACAGTAGAAAATTGTGGGAGCAAAACGGGGAATCTTTCTCACCCAGTTGAGTACAAATTTTTATACAATATGTCCTTTATAATTACTCCTAATACCAAGCTATATTTGATGAGATATACTAAGAAGAAACTCACCTGGTGATAGGAAAAGTCACTGGAAACTTCTTCGAAGCAACGGGTCTCGGTATTCTGGACTCACCAACATCTACATCCTTCTCTTTAGCAATCGTTTCGATATCGTGCATCCCGCTCTGACACGCTTTAGTATCGTAGTACTCGTAATAATCCGGTACTCCGATGTTTCTACCATAAGCCGATCTATTATAATAATAATACAAAATTAGACGCACTAAAAGCGAGTTAATATCAACTTACTTGGGCTTGTAGGAGCGTACCCGTACCGGTACCACCGCGGCGTTTTCCCCATAGAACATCTCGGGAATTGCTCGATTTATGGTACCCCGGAAATCGCCGTATTCTTCCGGATAATACGCCGGATCTTCGTAGTAGTACCGCTCCTGCGGTACGATGTATTCGTACTGCACGGCGTGCGGGTGTTGAGCCATTAGTTTCCTGCACAAATCGATGAATGTAGTGCAAAATGTATCAAAAAAATGTAGAGAGAAATCTATTTTTTTAGTCTATAAGAATTTCCAGCAATAAAAAAGGTAGAGAGAATTCTATTTTTTAGTCTATAAGAATCTCCAGCAATAAAAAAGGTAGAGAGAATTCTATTTTTTAGTCTATAAGAATCTCCAGCCATAAAAATGTAGAGAGAATTCTATTTTTTTAGTCTAGAAGGATCTCCAGCAATAAAAAAGGTAGAGAGAATTCTATTTTTTAGTCTATAAGAATCTCTAGCCATAAAAATGTAGAGAGAATTCTATTTTTTTAGTCTAGAAGGATCTCCAGCAATAAAAAATGTAAAGAAAATTCTATTTTTTAGCCTACAAGAATCTCCAGCCATAAAAAAGGTAGAGAGAAATCGAGTCTATAAGTATCCTCCAGCCACCCTCGTATAACTGGTATAACTAGAAACTTAATTACTGGCGTATTACGCAACAAGACAAACAGTTAAATTAGTGTACACGTTGTGTATACACAAAGTCATTAAATCCATCTCGATTTCGACCCCGACATCGACGCCCCATTTCGAATTAGGCTTATTCATTTGATATAATTAATTAGCTGTTAACGCGATTGCCATTACACCTATCGAATTCGATTCGAAATCGATGCAAATGCATTCGAGCGATTTACGAAGAAAGTTCGGGAAACTTTTCCGAGAGTCGATGGAAAACTTTTTACAAGTAAATGCAATTGTGTGGTAATCCTGAGGAGCCTTATATAAAGTGCATTGTATTGCAAAGATGGGTAGTTAAGTTATCGAATATATAGGTCAGTTTATTCTCAGTTTTGCGTAGTATTGTGCATTCTGCTATATAATAGTTTGATTGATGAGCATTTAATGTCTTCTTCGCTTAAAAATCGAGGAATATTCGATAATTATGTCGTAAAGAGAGAAAATCCTAAGAATATAACCCCGTGCGTTAGAATCGTAGAGCTTTAATTAGAGAGGCGATTATTAGAGTAAGTGCTTTCGGGAATTGCAAAGTTGCAACCAATTTACCGACGAATTGGATACCATTAGTTCGAATTACCTCGTACCGTACGAGCGTTTAATTCGAGCCATTTCGTTGGGTCAACTACATTTCACCGCCCTTTACCTCAACAGATAAATAGCGAAAATATTTGTGCGAACGTGGAATTTAATCGGTAAAGATGATTTACGTTTCCTTGTTTGATAAAGATATCTACAATTAAAGATAATACACCGGTTATCATGTTAATTTATTCCAGCGGTATCGCTTATTGTACAAAACAAATATACGAGGTTAGTAATAAAGATGGAGATTGAAATTTTCGATAACATTTCGATTGATTCTTAACTATAAATGTGTATAAGTACTTACCGAAGAAATAAGGAATGAAATATAATTTTCGAACGATTCGACCGCAAATTAATTTATCCTGCTATATCATTTAACAAAATAACGTTGTATTCAATGTAAAATTGAAACCAACCGCTGGAAATGACATTTACTATAATTTGAAAATTTGAATGACGCGCACTCGATGTTTCACTGACACTTATCGATTGTTGATAAAAAACCTAATGGCGTTTACCAACCGCAATTATTTCATTCAAACATTACCATACTTTATTTAATTACTTTTCGTTAAATTCAGCAGAGATGCAACGGAAGTTGTATAAGTGATATAAAGTTAATTAAAACGACGGTATGTAGATGGAAGTTTCGCTACAATCTTGCAAATTAGTTTCGAAAACAACTCATTATTTTCATCAGTATGCAATATTCAAAATATCAATTAAACAGCGAGCATTAAGGCGCTGATACACGAATCAAACAAGTAACTAAATTTAGTTACTTGCATACTGTGAACAACTTGACTTAGTAGTTTACTAAATAAGATACTTGCACAAATTGTCCACACAATACAAGTAACTAAATCTAGTTACTCGATAGGTGTATCCTCGTCTTAACATTAAACCCCGATGCAGTTAAGCGCGATTAATATCATTACCGCAAAATCCTCGGGAGCGCCGTCTAAACGTCCCGATATATATATATATATCCGAAAATCCTCCATCTATTCCCATTCCCAAATCCGGCTCGTCTTTAATGCATTATCATCGTACATCGCGCGCAATTTCTGGCTAATATACCGGGGGATAGGAATAACGGAGAGAGGATAATTCGGATTCGCAATTGTAATGTAATATTCGATTCGTTTCGATTTCGTTCCACCGGAACGTTTTCTCTCTACCTTTAGATATATAACAAACAAGATCACTTTTTTGGCCTCTATATGAGAATATCTGCACTAGTATTATTCATTTACTCTAGTTGTTCGATGGAGAATATTATTTAGAATCTTCCGGAGCTCTTAAATTGTGATAGTTGTTGAATATTCAGAATGCAAAGATTCTAGTAAAGCGATTTAATCGTATCGGAAAACACGAAATTAATTATTCGATTAACGTCGGTAGAACAACCGAGGGTATAATTTATCACAATCGGCATTAAACCAGCGCAATGCATGCGAATAATAAACGACAAATTATGGGCAAACAAGCCCAATAGAAATTCATATAAAACCCCCTATAACACATCCATTGTTCCCGTTATTCGGGAATTCACCGCGAATGACCCAAAAAAAATATTCGCTCGACAAACCGATCGTAATTAACTACAAACCCGGGGATATTTTACGCGACACAATTAACATAATTCGAACAAAGATTATTACAACGAAAAAAAAAAAAGTCCCCGTTTGGGCGATTTTTTTTCAGGATGAGCTCCGATCGCGCGCGCGATTTCCAACGAAAAACCGTTTTCGCGTTTTCGCCCGGCCAGTCGACGTCCATCCCCGTCGCGATGAAGACGTCGCTCGGTCGCGGGCGTCGCGACGCCGCGCTCTGATATACACGGAGATAGTTTCGTTTTAATCGCCTCCGATCTCGTTTCGCTTGGACTCTATTTTTTTTAGCGTCGGGATGAATAAAATTGATTAGTTTTGGTGTCGAGTTGTGCTTGTGTTTGTTTACTAGTAAGTAGTTTATGGGTTTTTTCGCGGTACTGAAATTGGTTTGGTCGTTTGCACATAGCTTAGTTGATTAATTGAGCGTATAATGAAAGTTTGTTTTTCAATTAGATGTTGCAAATTGTTATTTTAAAACGACATGATACTGGTTTTATTTTTGGTTAAATCCGAATCAAAACAATAACACCGAGACTGCATTAAAACTCTTGCATATTTTATCATTCACGAACGATTTTAAAACAAACATTTAATTGGTTATGATTAAGCAAATCATACACTCAATTAGAGTAGATACTAAGTTGCGAAAAGAAAAAAAGGCTCTTCGAACTCACTTTTGCACGCGTTTAAAACACACAATGAAAGAAATATCGATCCCACTATTTACCAGAAAACGATCGTCTGTCACGCTTTTCGTACGCTCCATTTTCCATTGTATTTTCCATTCATTTCCACGTATTTTGTGAACAGTCACGCGATTAATTCCGTTTTAAGAACGTCGAAACCCCTCGGGAATCCCCCCGCTCGTACGCCTCTAACAGGTTATTCGTGTTAAGCCAGGTTCATGTTAAATTTATCTTCTTTTTATAATTTCTATCTATCTATAATCGTATCTCGATATCTACTTAATCGATGCTTGTACTGCAAGAATTTAATTAATCGAACGAGTACTAATTTAATTAGAAAAAAAAAACCAACAACGGAGGCGTCTAATCGTAGATATTAGGTTTACATCGCTTTGTTTCGGGCATTGTTCTCTCTAATTTATTTATTCGGATTTACACGAAAGGTGTAGAGAACGGGATCCGTTTAAGAGAGGACTGCTTGGTGTGAATTATTCCACGTGGATTATGCACGGGGAATGAACAATTATAATGGCGTTTAGTCGGCCGACATTTTTCACAAAAAGCTCCCAACGAAGGTGAGTTTTCCCCCCTTTTCGAAAACCCTCGATGCTTGTTTTTCTTCCTCGATAAACATGCATCGATCGCGCTTTTCCGAGTGGAAGATGTTTAAATAAATCAGAAGATTAAGAATTGTTTTCTATTATTTTTCTATCGTCTAATGCAGCAGTGAATTAAAGCGTTTTGGGAATTGGAATGTAGATATATTTTCGAACGGGAAATTGCGGGGCCCTTTTCAAAGGATTTTATTGGAGTAAATAATTTCTGGATGCCTTCGAGCTAATGCTTCGAAGTCCCGGAGTGGTTTAGTATCAATATCAATTCGATTCGATCCGGTTTAATCAATCCACGTCTGGAAAAAATGCCGAGAATAGTTTGTTATTTTAATCGATTTATAAAGTTCGGGTGTAATAAATTAGCTTCTCTTCGAAAAATACAAGCGAAAGTTGATTTATTTTCGATAATTTTTCGCGGTTTTTTTGCTTTCCCGAGCGGAAAATCGACTCACGCTTAATTGGTTTAAATCGATTTTGCGCGATTCATTAGAGGCAAAGTCGATTTGAAATATTTAACTGATTCGATAATAAAATGCGCCCGATTTCACATCACTATATAGCTTCTTTTTTGTTAGAAACGTCTAGCGTATGCGGAAAAGGAAAATCTCAATACTTACCTATTGAATTAAATAAAATTGAAAGGGGAAAAAAACAAATTGGAAGAAGACCGTGAATAGAAACTCCCGAGCACAATAGGAAAGGTCAAAGGGATATTAAACTTGGAATAAATAGTGACTTTGCATGGAACATCGCCTTTTTCCTACATATATACGCTCGAATAAAGAGGCTATTTCGTTCGCACTTATCTCTATGCAGTTTACAAAGTTTGCTGTGCGGCTTCGAAAAAGCTTCGATGACTTCGAAATTGGTTCGTTTCGAATTTACTCTCATTCATTGTTCCTTTATATTCTGCTTTCGCAAAAACCGGGCCGGATTTCCTCGGCGCATTCGATGTAGTTTTTGCGGTGCTTCCCCGCCACTACTTCGCTTTATTATTAATTCCTTTTTGTCGCTTTTCCAAAATTTAATATAGAAGTTTAATTTCATCGGGCTCGGAGCGAGTGTATTGTATACGCAATTTGGTAAAATTAAATCGTTCGGGATAAAATATTCGATGCGTTTTTATCGGGACGAGGGAAAAGTAATTTCGAAATTTTCTGATACTCTGCCGAGTAGTAGTTCAAAGTTACCGCAAATTCTCCCTTTTTGATACAACAAGCAAAAATTTCTTATCGTTAGAAAGTAAAATTAATTACAATCGAGCCCGAATTCGACATTTCGAATTACGCGAATAAAATCCAATTTAAATTGTAAATTGGCGATATAGTTTCGTTAGTATAAACAGAGCGATTTCCTTTGAGTAAGCTATAGTAAATTTATGGAATAAATTCCATTTGAGCTCCAGTCGCGAGGAAAATATGTCTTCCAAGCACAGCATAAAATACACCTGTAAAATTCCTCGAAAATACCCCAAGAATTCTGTTGTAGTTAAACGGGCGTATTTTAATTATTTTTTTTTTTTCGTTGCGAAAAGAATTAAAATTCTAGTTACGCAGCGCATTTAAATTCGAGATTTAAACATAATTCGTCGCAAAACATAAATCATACGTGACCGAATGATTTCGCAAACTTTACACATAACATTAAAGCGTCCCGGGGACTTCCATTCTACCATTAAGTCCCCCGAAAACGGTTATTCCTTGTCGCGTAACTCGCCATGATTTAGGGATTCGTTCCGCTAATAATAATGGAGAAGGAAATTTGTTTAGTGTACATGCGAAACGAGAAATCGCCACCGAAAACGCCCGCCGAAAAAAATTGTTGTTTATTATTGGAAACCATAATTAAACGTCACCGCGGATAATTGATATATAGAGAGAGCGAAAATTAATTTCGGAAAGTCCTGGAAAGTTTCGATGAATAAAAAATGCAAGTTCGTCCGACGAAAGCGAAATTATAATTGTACATCTTGAACTTTTCCGTTCCAATTTCCACTTCGATTATTTCCGATTTTCCTTTAAAAGTGGGAATGTTAGCGAAACAACCTTTGACATTGCGAATTTCGCGAGGATAAAGAAGATTTATATTAACGGTAAAGTTCGTCGGCT